AGGGCTTCTTGAAGAAGGAAAATACTGGACACAGGAGAATCACCCTTCAGGTAGAAGAAGGAGAGATACAAACGTGTTTAGAAACCCAAGCCAGATTTCCTTACCTTGCTTTCACAACTATCCTGAAGCTCTCAAATTTATCAGAACTAATAAAGTTACTTTCTGGCTCTATGAGGATGGAAAAGCTTGGCATGGCTGAAAATGGAGTAGAAAAGAAAGGCACTTAGATGGGTTTTATATTTAAAGCTACAGGTACCCAGAGATGCTCCTGTAGAGCCACTCAACAATTGTTGTGCTTTCGAGGGGGTTGAGTTATTAAAAAGACATAAAAATGAAAGTTTGGGCACATCTTACCATATTCCTTAACTTCAAATTCTGCCACAGCTGAGGTTGCAAAATCCTTCTTATATTTGGCTTTGATCTTCCAAATTCCATACCTGCCAAATGTCAACAATCAAACGGTTTTTAAGAGGAAAGTTAATGTTGAAGACAAAAATCAATATTGCTGCTCGACAATATTTCATGTTAATAATGATTTTGAGAGGGAAGTTCTGCATCAAAGCTTTGCACGTGTTCAATGCCTGCTTTGAGAAAATTCTCTTTGGTATAATAATAATTATTTGAAATTTATATTAGGAAAATGAAATCAGTTAAACCCTGGTTTTACAAGCCCCTTTAGCATCCTTCTGCCAGCCCAGTAAAGCTCCAGCACCCTCTCAAGACTGAAAGGAGAACTGAAGGGATGTTTCTTTTTTATGCTGCTGTTCTTGGAAAAATCCTGGTGATTTGTGGGAATACAGGTGTGAAAGACGAACATTTCCCCTCCCTGAAATCAACACGTCTTCAGTGCTTTTTCTGTCTCTACAGTGGAAAACTTGAATTGTTAATTATCTTCCTTTTTCATTGAGCACAACAAAACTACCATTAACTGTTCTTTAAGGAGAATTCTTGGTCATAATGTCCTTATTTAGACCATGGTTCCATCCTATGTGAAATGTCAGAAATCTCCAAGTTTCAAGTCATGCCCATCACCCCAAACCACCCTATGAAAATCACTTTAAAAAGGCATATTTATGTTAATGATTCACAAAAAGCACGAAACAAATTACTTAGGATTAGGAGGAATCTTGAAGTCAGGAAAAGAAACTATCCCAGTAAAATCTTTTTCTTCTAAAATATCCACTTCTACTCCTTCAGGATCCTTGAAATCAGGAGAGGAAAGATTAAATCGTTACAAATAGTTCTTATCAACAGGAGAATCTTCATCAGTGATTTCAGTGGCAGCCTGGTCAATAAGTTCTTTTTCTGAGAGTTTTGCCCCTTTCACAGCATGAAAACATAAACATCTGTAGGAACAACTCAGACTGAAATTTTGATAAGACATTTTACTCTGATTCCTACAAGTCAAAGCTGTAAACACAATTCTTAAAGTGGCTAAAAAACTACTATAATAACAAGGCAATTGTTCAAGGCTAAACAGTATAGTAGATACTCATTATTTTTACACATTAAATGAAACAAACAGTAGGAAACCCCTATAGTATTACTATTAAAGATAAATTTGTTTCTTTTTTTTTTTCTATTCTGTAACAACTTCAGATCTGGGATTTGAAAACTTCTCTCCAGCTGTGCATTTTCAGATCTTTTAAAAGATGAGTGGCTACCTGCAAAAACATCTAACAGTTTTATTAAATATTGATTGCAACATTGATCCACTGTCTAACCACATTTAGTTGTTATTAGAGCTACAGAATATTCATATTAAATCCAATTACAACTCACCACAAAAGTCAGGACAGTTTCCCTATGAGCTGGCTGCAGTTCTTCATTCAGAGAGTAAACCCTGACTTTCACTGGAAGAATTAGAGCAAGAAATCTCAAAGTTAAAAAAAACCCCAAACAACCAAAAAATCACCAATATTTTGAACATATTCCCAGAAAAATCATTCACTCTTGTGCCACAAATTAGTAATTTAGGGTGAGAAGGGCAGGGACTGAGAGGATCTTGGGAGAAGTGATTGATTTTTACAATATTAACAAATAGTTCGAGACATTATTCAGCTGATTAAAAAATGAAATAGCAGTAGAGAGCAATAAAAGATAACTAAGAGATTAAAGAGCATTTAAATCCTCATTCCTTGGCAGAGTCCACAGACTTTAAAAATGAAACAGAAGCCAAGGTAAATAAGCCCTACTTACCTGACTGATCAGGAGTATAAATTGGTTTGTCTGTGTGAATAAAGAGAAACCCATTCTCGTAGGAAACAGGGATTTTTTTCTCTCTTGTAAAATGTGGAGAAACTGCTTCCAAATACAAAAACTTCTCTGAATTATCAGTTCTTGGTAAATCTGTTGGTTGAAGCTGGGGGAGATGAAAGAAAGGTTTTTAAAGAATATTATAAAGTATTTTTTCCCACAGTACTTTTTGTTGAGAAGAGGATCTGAACAGCAATTACTGTCCTGTGGTTGAGTATCTTGAAATAAAAACACCAACAGTCACAAGGGTTTATTCTTGCTTATATGAGAGATGATGTTCTAGAGGATTTAGCTTTGAAATTTGGCATTTATTTATACCCAGAACTAAGCCAGCAAAGTTCAAAGCCCACTTATGAGGTTACAACAGCACAAATGATCAGACTTTTATTTATACACATCATAAATCCTGGCCACACCAAAGCTGCTGCTGTGGTTGCTAGTTTAGTTTGATTCTCTTTATTTTGTAAATTATGCAACTGGGATAATATTTCTTAAAAAAAAAAGTTTGATTCTATGTTCAACTTCACTGATTTCATTCCAAGTAATTTGAATTTCAGACATAACAAATTGGGGCTTTAGGCTTCCTTTCCCAGTTGAAATAACTGAAAACTCCCCATAATCTTTTTTAACACTTATCACTAAACGTGATAATGGAAAGAATGTAAGAAAAGTCTGAGTTCCTTACTGTTAAAGTTACAGCATCTTGGAATTTGTTGGCTGGAGTTAAAGAAATCCGACCAGAAGAATAAACAGTAGATTTATCTGGAAAGCTTTTGAGGGCAATATTGACTGGAAATTCCTGGTCATAACCAAAAGCTTGAACTACAACTTTCTCAGAGGCCCCAGCTCGGAAGATCTTTGGTGCTGTAAGGACATATCTGTACAGGGAATATAAAACAATACAAGGGTCATGGAATTAGATTTCTTTGGGATTTTGTCTGTTTTTAATTCAGTTCTTAAAGCCAACAAGATAATCAGGCAGAATTATTCTAAGACACAATTCAAAAGCTCTTCAAATGGTGCCTTTTGTATTGGTTCTATTTCAATTCTGGCTCTATTTGTCTAAAAGAGCAGACAACAATCAAGTCCCATTGTCAGTAAATTCTGTATTTGCTTTACTTACGTTTTCTCTTGGCTAAAAGCTGTCCCAGAAAATAGCAAAACAACCAAATAGATCAAAATAGTCATTGTGTCTGTGACACCAGCAGAGCAGGGAGTTACTGGTGCTGGGTTAAACCTCCTGTGCTGGGGAGGAACAGCAGAGCCACCAACACACTTCACTCCCAGTTAATCATTAATTACAGATCACCTTTTATTAAAATGTTATTTCCCTCTCCCAAGGAAGACAGAACAGCTGAACTTAGGAATTTTTTTAATAGATGATTTCCATTTTTTAATATTTCCCCAGTCACCCTGAGTCAGTCCTCACCCTCTGACAATTACATTAAATCAAATCATTTTCCGAGGTAGAAAAAACCCCAGCAACCAACAAAAAAGTAGATTCTGTCCTTCATGAAATGATTTATATTTAAATCAAAGTGATTTTCAATTTTTGTCTCACGGACAAAATGCATTTGGAATTCTATCAAACATAATGCATGGGTATGTTTAAATCAGAATTTTTTGTTTGGAAATAACTCTTCCCTTCCAAATTTCTTTTAGCCATTTGTGTTCCTGATTATGCCAACTTTTTGAGTACTTCCATTACAAATAAAATTGTAACATGAAAACATTAGGGAACAATATATCAACAACGTGCACCGTTTTAAAAAGCAATTGCAAAAAAAAAACCCCACAACCTTTGGTGACAAAACCTTTGCAGGTCTGATACCCAAGACAGCACCACAACAAATAGGTTTATGTAAAGTTAAACAAAGTTGTGCAAGAATGCTGAAGTTTAAACAAATACTGTGGTCAACCTTTACGGGAAAGGCATTTACAAAACTATTTCTGATCGATATAAAATTAAATTACAGTAAAGCCAACTTGGGTTTCTCCCAGATGTAATAAACTGCAAGGGAAGCAATGATAAAATCTTATGAAATGTGAGGTGCTAATAAAGCGAATGACCAAAGTACCTATTATTAAATACCAGTAAGTTTACGTGGGTGGTATATAAATGATAAGATGCAAATGGTAAAACATATTGGAAAACGCTTTGAAGGCCTAACAGTACTCTGAAATAATGGTTTTTAAATGTAATGATGCCCCTTCCACGTGTTTTTTCTCATACGCAGCCTGATGGTTTTTCAGCCCCGCGTTTCACATCCAGATGTAGAGATTCCAAACTAACACAGCCCAGAAGCGCTAAAAGAGATTTATTTACACGCCTCTGTGGAAGTGGTGGTGATTTAGACCTCCCACGCGGAGCTGAATGCAGTATTTACAAACGTTACAGCACAAAACCTATTTACGCAGGTTGGCAGCGACACGCTAACGTGACACATACAGAGAGGGACAGAAAAAGCACATAAGGAAAGAATAACTATGAGAAGAGCAAGATTTGTTGTTTATACAGTGATTCGGGCTCTAATTACCCCAAAACTCCTCAAGGTTTTATTTTCATACCGCGATTTGTGCTTTAACCACCAGAAGCCCCCTCAGGACGCGCCCTGAGGGGACGCGGCGAGAAACGCTGAGGGGAGGGGGCGGGGCCGGAGGGGCGGGAACGGCGCGCGGGAGGGGCGTGGCTTTGCTTAGGTCACGCCCCCTCCCCTTCCCTCTCACCCGCCGGGGCCGCCGGACAAAATGGCGGTGGGGCGGCCTCTCAGGCGGCGCCCTTAAAGGAGCCGCAGCACCCGCGGCTCGGCGGGTGGGTTGGGTGGTGATCGCTCGCTCGGGGCGAGGAGGCGGCGGGGAGGAGCGCTGAGAGCCGGTGCGATCCTTCGGGAGCGCCCCAGGGGCCGCCCTGGCCGCCGCGGCGGCGAGCGGTGACACGGCGTTACCATGTCAACGCAGGTAATCAAAGCGGCGGCCTGAGGGGAACCGGGGCGCGGCGGGACCGGGATCGGCCTCGGTGGGTCACCGGGGAGGGGATGGGGTGGCACGGGGACCCCCAGGCCAGCCCCCCCTCCCTCCTGCTCAGACGTGGGTGTCACTGCAAACCACGATCTGTGCTCAGGAAACCGCGTTACAATGACAACCGCGCTCCCTAAAACAGGAAGAAACGCCCGCAGCATCTTTCTCCCTCTCCTGTCCCTTCCACTCTCACGTTCCTGGTCCTGTTTGAGTTGTGCCTCCAAGCAATGGATGGAAAAGAGTGGCTTTTCCTTGCTGCTCTTTTCCTTGCCCACCTTTCCTTTCCAGTTTTGGAGGGAACAAAATACATTGCAATGAAGAACATATTCTCAAGACACAACGTGATCACTCACAGACCTCCACGTTCCTGTAAAATCATACTTTTCTATCTTAAAGATTGTCTTAAAATGTGCTCTTTGTTCACTGGGTGTAGGTGTCAGTAAAACTCGGTCCCTGGGGGTGATCCCTACAAGAGATTTGTCCCACAGAACTTGCACATGGCTTTTTCTGCTCTGATCCCTGGGGAAGTATCTTCTTCACTGGGGGAAGTGTCTGTTAACATCCTCTGGAATTTCCCAGGCAGTCACGGGATAATTTATTTGCAGAAAGGGAAACTCTGGGAATGCCAGAGTTTTTCTCCATTGCCTTTTTTTTTTCACTCTTCTTGCTGCAAAGTGGGTGATTTCTACCTCTGCTAAAAGCAATTTGGCTCCAATCCTCTGTTTCTGCCCTCTGCCAGCTCTGTTAGTCTGAGCTGAGGGTATCTCTAGACCTGAAAGGTGTAACCATTCTTCCCAATGCCATGAGAACTGGAAGCTGGCACCCTCTGGAGAACTGGCTTTGATGTGGGTTTGGCAAAACATTCTCCCTGTAGCCCCTTTGCTGTTGTGCAAACCTTTCAGATTTATCCTTATACGCAGACTGATGTTCATTTCTGTTCTTCCAGGTCTCGTCCTGTGATATTTGGGATTTTTGGCAATGAGGAAAGGCTCTGTAAGAAAAGCATTGAGTAGAAAACCAACTTCTCAGACACCAAGTCCAATGTCACCTGTCAGCTCAGGTACCAGATCCCCGTCTCCCCTTGGCCAACAGACACCTCCAGCTGCTCCCAAAAGCATGGAGCAGGTGTACCAACACCTGGATATTCCAGCAGAAAACGTGGGACCTGCTTTTAAGTTTCATAAAGGTTTGTATAATGAAAAACCACTGATGTAAAAGTACATACCACAAGCATAAAATGCCAGTGTTCTGTGAGCTGTGTGGTTAAAGATGTATGGTCTGGTGGAAAGAAGCCTGAAAAACTTGCTTTCATCTTTTTTTTTTTTTGGAACTCAAATGAAGAAATGAGAATAATGAGACTTTTAGTCCTCCCTGTAAATGCTCCTGATGTCCTGGTTCTTCTCATCCCCTGGTGAGGGAGGAGATAATTTTCAATGTTTTACCAATATTCAGTGTGAAATTAAAGACTAATATAAAAATCACCAGTTCTTTTCAGTGCTAAAGGTAGTTTCTCTGTTTAATTTCAGGTGAAAATGGTGTTACCCCAGGAGTTAGGTACATCACTGAGCCCCTCATAAAGGGTCTGTCAAAACAGCAAAATTTGGCATGTATAAGCTCACTGAATCTTTCTTCCCCAAAAGATGGGGACAAAAAGTTTAAGGTAAGGTTTTGACAATAACTGGTAATTAAACCAAGCTTAAAGTTGATTTTTAATTGTTTTTTAGCAAAAGTTTATTTTAAGTTGGTTGTGAACACCATGTTCTGTTAGCTTAGTTCTGCAAACAGTTTCTGTTAAAAAAAAAAGGCAGAAAGAAAACCAATTCATTCATTAGAGTGATGTCTAAAACACCATTAATTTGTGTAATGTTTTAGCTTTTGGGTTGTGCTGGTTTGGGTTTGGTTTTTTGGGAGAGATTTTTTTTGGAGTGTGTTTTTTAATGGCATATTCTCTTTAATATAAATGAGACTGGTCCACTGTAAACTTAAAATCCAGTTTTACTCTTCCAGCGCTATAGAAGTCTGTACCTAAAGTGAGACTTTAAAACCCAACAGTGAAACTGTGATTAATTAAATGTTAGAACACTTGGTATTTGTAGTGAACAGGTGGTTGTTAAAAACAGAAATCTGCTTTTCTCTTTTTAAAAAATAACCCTGCAATGCTGAGGGATTCATTTTCTGTTCTTCAGTACATAGAAAATCTGGAGAAGTGCTCTAAACTAGAGATACTAAATCTTAGTAACAACCAAATAGAGAAGATGGAGAAGTTGGATAAACTGCTGAAGTTACGGGAGCTCAACTTGTCCTGCAACAGGATCAGGTAAGAGGAAACCTGGGCAGGTTTGGGGAGCCCAGGGGCAGTAAAACTGATGTTCTTTTACTGCTTGAGTTCTCTCCAAAGTGCATTTCCCATCCATTGTATTCAAGACTAACAGGCTTTGGTGAGACCTTCTTAAAAAGCACAAACTCTTTGGTGTTGGAAGCATAAATAGTTCTGGGAAGTGCTGTCAGTGCTGTGGTTAAACTTGTTTTCCTTGGAAGCCAAGCCAGAAGTGCAGGTTTCCAGATACCACAGTGCAGAGTGTGCAATGACCCAATTAAATGCCTTAAAAATTTAATTAAACTTTTACTGCTTATTATTACAGGTAATATAATGAATTCTCTTTTAGGAGAGGAAGCTGAATGGGCTTGATCAGGCAGGCAGGAAACCCACTGAATTGCTTTTTAACTGTTTTGAGAGTCTGCTGCCTCATTTGAGTGGGTTAAAAGTGTTGAAGGGTAATGGTTCACACAATAGCAGAGGAGTTTTCATTGCTTTTAGTGTTTCTGCCAGTGAATTATGATCTTTTCTGTGATGAAACCCACTTTGCAGCAGAGAAGTTAAGAATGGGAAGTGGGCAAAACACAGGTTTCTACACATGGCATTCACACAACTTCCTCTCTCAACAGGAATTGAAAAGGGCAGAGGAGCTTTTAGCTGCTGCTCTGTGTTTTCAGACCTTGGTTATGTACAGCTGGTATATATTCAATAAATAGTATATAAATGAGCACATTCTGCTGTTCTTTGTAACAATAATCACATCTTTAGATAAACGCCTGAATAGACTAAAACCTAACATGGTTTCCTCAATAGTTATTTACTGTTTTAATAAAACACTGAAAAATGTAGCTCTTCATGCTGTCAGTTTACAGTTGATCCTTCTTTGTGTGGGAAAAAAACCAAACACTAAAACTTGTTTATTTGGGTTCATCTTTCTCCCAGAAGAAAAAGAACAAAGGAATTACCACACATTAGAATAATCTAGATATGTAAAAGTAAAGGTTTTGCCACAGAGACAGAAAGTCATGCTGTAATTTTTGATCTTACTTGTAAGTCAGTTGGTGTAATTTAACTTGAATTGTGAGTCCATGGCAGTAAATAACTGTTTTTACTGATCTCTTGGTGATTATGTGAGGCAGATTTTGCTGCAGCTCATCCATAATGCCTCAGCTTCGCTGTAAATTTGTGGTGGTTCTTGGTTTGTCTTCTCATTTCCAGCAAAATCGAAGGTATAGAACATCTGCAGAACCTCCAAAAGCTGAACCTGGCAGGGAATGAGATTGAGCACATCCCTGTGTGGGTGGGGAAGAAGCTGAGATCCCTTCGTGTCCTCAACCTGAACCAGAACAAACTGTCCTCAGTAAGTGATGGGAGGCACAGACAGGCTTTGCTCTGGATCCTTTCCTGAGGGAGCTGCTGTATCCACACTGATTGACTGTGGTGGTTTGAGACCCCCAAAAATCCAATTTCCAAGTCCAACCCCCCTCCCACAACTCACCCCAGTGTGAGAGGGGTTTTCCAGATACAACACAAGACTCAATATGGGGGGAAGGGAATTATATTACAATTATTACACAAATAAATATTATAATACATTATATACACAATCCTAACTATCTCTCCTATGATAAAGAGTATTTACATTGGATCAAATCTCTTTTCCCTCCAATAAAAGTCCAGGAGGGAAGAAGGAAAGATCCTTTCCACATTCAGGGCAGCAGTGTCTCTCTTCAATGCAGCAGTTGTAGCTGGATCTCTCTCTCTCCATTACATTGACTTACTCTAAATGATTGCTGAGTGTGTTTCCTTTGGATCAGAAAAACTCCATTTGTGCCACATTTGTAGATACAAACCTGTATGATGTTTGAGACAGTGTGAGTTTTTTGAAGGTTGTATATATCCACAGGCCTTGGTGTGGCTTGAATTTCCAAGGTCAAACTTTATTAAATTTACCCTCTTTACATTTTTTAATAGAAGAAGGCATTTGATTTTAGGAAGTGACTTTAGTCATAGTACTGTGTGTTTGGGTAGGGGTTTAGAGCATAAACATTAAAATAGATCCTTTGGTACAAACCTAACATAAGACATTCTACATAATCAGAAGTTCACTCATGGGTGTTTAATTGTTCTTGGAAGGATGTCTGATCATTGTTCCCTTTCTCTTTGATTTAGCTCCATGATGTAGCTAAACTAAAGCCTCTCCAAGATCTGACCTCTCTATTCCTTGCTGATAATCCAGTTGGAAATCTGCCTCACTACTGCTTGTACACCATATTCCACTTGAGAACACTGGAAAACTTGGATGGGCAGCCCGTGACAAATCCTGACAGGCAGGAAGCTCTGCAGAGGTTTAATTTAGGTAATAGTATGTTAAATCTAAAGGGAGTGACACAAAACTGAAGTTTAGAAGGAGAAGACTTTTCTATTTGAACGTTTCTGTGATTCTGTTTTGCAGAAGAGATAGAAAAATTAGAGAGGGAGTTGGAAAACACAGTCAAGGAGATGGAGAACCTCAAACTGACCCAGTCCAAGGTGCTCGAGCAGCTTCACCATCAAGATGAGGTCAACAAATCGTTGAAAGAAAAGACTTTGCAACAGAAACAAAGCTTTGAAGACCTACAAAGGGACCTGGGCACCAAAAATGAGCTGGTAAGGTAATCACCTGCACTAGGGAAATGCTTGGACACAGAGTTGTCAGTGTGAGGGTTCAAATGGCTGGAGATTTATGGTTAAAATTGAGACAAACCTTAGGGACTTCAGCTCTCTAAAGAGTGGTTATTTACCAGTGGTTCTTCAACATTCTTTCTGTAGAAAAAGTAAGTATATTGAACCAGCAGTCAGTATCACTCTTGTCATTTATGGTAACTTGTTTGTTTGTCTCTAGTAATTGTTTATTTTTGTTTCAAATTTGGTCAGTTGATGGAAGGTTAAGTGTCCTCTGGCTGCTAAATTGCTGATGTACTGAAATATCCTGCCTTGGTCAGGCTCTAACCTGCTGCTGCAACAAGGGAAAAAGTGAATACTTTTCCAAAACCAAGATGTGCATATGAGTTGTATGTCAGTAATAGCCCTTGATTGTTATTTTGGGTAATGTCCACTGGTTTACTTGTATTTTATTCACATCATCCTAAAATCTTATGTTTGAACATCTTCCATTGGTAGCTATAAAATGCAAGGAAAGTCCTGTTGACTTGAGAATGATGAATTGTGAGTGACCTGATGGGAACTTAATAGATGGCTTTTATCTTGTTAGACTTTGTCCTCTAAAACTTCATCCTCCAGCCTTTTGATAGTTAACACTTCCCCAGCTGTTTATTCTCTGAGCACACCCCCACTAACCAGCAATCTCTTTCTAAAATGCAGTTTTCAGTATAGTGAGATTTAGCAGCAAATACTTTGCAGTTTGAACCCACTGTTATCCTTGGGGTGATGAACTTTGCTTGCTTCTCTCCTCCTTCAGCTGGTGTGTTGGTTTGTCCCAGCCCCCTTCCTGCAGAGCCTTTATTCCTCACTGAAGGTAGCCCCCCTGTGCTCCTGCCTGCATGGTTATTTTATTTCTAGGATGTGTTTGCACTTTCACTGAAGTAGCAACATTAGTGTGAAGTGTTCACTGTGGGTCTGGATACAATTTTCTTGATATTTTGTTTTCCTTTTCTCTGAAACACAGTTAATTTTTGCATGACATTTTATCAGGTTTTTAAATCTCTCTTTAAAGCCTTTCCTGTTCTTATCTTTTCCTCCATTAGTCCTGCTTTCCACTGTCTGTTGGAATTGTGCTCCATGTTCTCCCTCAGGTATTCAGTGTGAAAAGTTGATTTAAAATGAAATCACATGATGGACCTTTACTTAAAAATACCATCAAAACCTACAAAGTTAAGCTAAAATAAAATGCATAGACTTGTACATTTGACAATTGAGATATTTTGTTTCTTTTACAGGCTGTGAGTGTTAATAGTTTCTCTGCTCATTGGTAGCAATAAATACATTTGTTATTTGGCCTAGATTTTGCTAGAGGATCCCAGCCAAATTATTTTTTTTATCCTAAGTTAATAACAGATTTCCTTTTAAACCTTTGATGCACAGAAACTTCAAAGGCCTTTCATGTGATCATTTGTGTTCTATTAATTGTGGGGCATCTGTCTCCTCTTGGTCATCATTGTGCCTTCTAATAAAGCTGCACTTTGTGATGTTCTTGACCTGTGATGTGAGCTGTGAGTTGTGTTCCTGAGTTGTGGCTGTGCCCTGCTCTCTGTAGTGCTGAGCTGGGTGTGCTGATGCCACTTGGATGAATTCAGCTGACTCTGTTCCTGCTTTCTCAGCTGAAGCAGAAGACAGTGGAGCTCACCAGAGCCTGCCAGAAGCAGTATGAGCTGGAGCAGGAACTGGCCTTTTATAAGATCGACGCCAAATTCGAGCCATTGAATTATTTTCCGTCTGAGGTAATAATTTTAAAAGAATGGATCTTTTCGTTGCCCTTCCTCTGGATCTTCAACCTAGAAAATAAAGTTTTCTAGACTTCTAATAGACAGTGCTTAATTAAAAGTTATTAGTTACAAAATATAATATATTTTTGTATATATAATATATATACATATATATACATATATATACACATATATATAAAATATATTTTGTATATATATACACATATATATAAAATATATTTTGTATATACATACACATATATATAAAATATGTTTTGTATATACACACACATATATATATAAAATATATTTTGTATACACACACACATATATATATAAAATATATTCATTTTAAAATCATAAGTTATAAGCTCTCAGCTAAACAGTGAGTGACATTTAATGTGCTGAATATTAGTGTACACATCTCTATGTATGTGTTTTAGCTGAGTCCTTGAGCAAACATTTCATTCTTAGTGACCTTAGGCCCTTCTTCTGCCTTAATTTTGGAGGCCCTTTTACTTGGAGAAGTTCCTCAAGCCTGAGTTAGATGGTATTAGAATTTCTGTGCTTTTTCTGTTGGATTTTTCTCCTAGTAGAGCCCACCCTCTCTGTCATACCTGCAAACAAATATGGAGATGCCTGAATGAAAGCAGCCTCACAAGAAATGTGAAGATCAGTAATTATTAACTATAATTAAGTTATGTCTGAGTAAAATTTCAGTGCAACAATGTAATGGACTAAGTATAATCTAAGTAAATCTAAAATACAAAGATAAAGTTCTTCCTGTTAATATCTACTTGCAAGAAACTGGTCACACCCCAATTGGGTCAGTTTGTTTTTAATTCTCTTCTAAAATAACAATATTCAAGGCCAAGCAAGTCAAGTATAATCTGTTTTCTTCTAATTATTCTCACTTCAAATTGGTTTAAATGTCTATTATGAATTGTCTGCAGGCAGATTTCTGAGCTAAAGACAAATTGTTTCCTGCATTTCAGGAGGTTGAGGTTGATGATGTGCCCGGGGAGAGCCCCTACATTGGCAAGGCCAGGTACAAGAGGAACATGTTTGTGAGGGAAGGATTCATCGCTGACAGGGCTCAGCAGCTGCACCTGGGCAGAGTGCAGAGAGAGGGAGAGGACTTCTGGAGGAAAACCCAGCTGGAACTGCATCTCCAAACTCTAGATGAGCTACTGGAGAATAAAGAAAAAAAAATTAATTCAGGTAACATCTTATATTTTTTTAATTGAATAAAATTAAAATATGTATATCATATAAAATGTGGTTTATTCCACTGACATAAGAAGTGCTGTCATTTCTACACGCTGTGCTTGCATTTTGGGTCAAAGCTCTTACCACTTCTTATGGCTGTTATTTTACTATAACTCCATATGAAAGGATTGCATGTTACTGAAAACACAAAACTAGGGAGGTTTCATATTTGATGCATTAATTTAATTGTGTAAAACTCATTAAAAGAACTTTAGACACACTTTTTGAGAAACCAGAATGTGTTGGCTGTGATTATCACTGTGTTAAGAAAACACTGATTTTCTGGTGATAGAAACTGTGTATCAATCTCATACAAAATATTATAAAGTATCTTGTGGGATTGTGGGGTTTGTGTTGGGTTTTCTTTTTGTCTGCAGCACAAAGAAGATTGGAAGAACTGCAAAGTGCAATTGGAGATGCAGAGCAACGAGTTTGGAAAGTAACAGAGGAACTGCAACAACTGGAGGCTGCTCTGGATCAGAAAAAAGTAAGTTGTTCCACAAGTGGCAAAGGAAAGTGTTTGAAGAACTGTTGATCTAGAAAACAGAACTTTTTCTCCCCATTCTTTTAAAGAGGCCACTGTACATATATAAACCCATTTGTCATGCCTCGGAAAAACCTGAGAGGCTTTAGAGAGCTTGTTTATAAACAAGCTATCAGAGTTTTGGTTCAATTAATGGCATCTAAACCTGCTCCATGTGTTGCTGCTGCTGATTGACTTTCCCCAGAATGCTTTGGAGGCACCTGCAGTGTAGGTTTAGTTGTGCAGTTAATAAGCAACGTGGCTCCATAATTGGCAGCAAGAATTAATTTAAAGCCATTTATCAGCATTAAGCTAAAATTGTATTTTCCATTGCTTCAACTGTCATCAATTATTGGTATTTTTAGTCTTTTAACTCGCCTTAAAATCAATGCCCAGGATCTTTATTTAACTGGTAAAAATGGTCTTGATCAGCTGTGTATTTCCAATTAAACCCACTTAACACCCTGATGCTGCCTCCAGATATCCCAGGCCAACAGAGAAGCGATTGAGCAGCAGTTGAGTGAAAAGATACAAATCCTGCAGGAGCTACAGAAGGAGACCTTAGAACTGGAAAAACAGATAGAGAAACAGAAAAGAGAAATAGGGAAAAAACAGAAAGAGCTGGAAGACTTGCAGAGTTCCCTTGCTTCTGTAAATCCTGAGGATCCAAGGCATGTGAGTAAAACCAAAATCTGAAGTTTTTATGCACTGAGAACTGGAGCAAAGGCTGCTTTAACAGACCACTGTTCAATGAGTTAAATATTCCTTTTCTATTTATCAAAGCCATTAACTGTTACCAGTTGAAAAACATACAACTCCTCACAGGTTAAAAAAACCCCCTCAGAACCAACCAACTTTAGTAAAACACTTGAACAATTAATTTCCACGGCAGCTGCTGCCCAGCATGTTAAGAACTCAATCTTTGTGCTCTGCACAAACTGTGCAGAGCCTGGGGGACAACTAATGTGGGAAAAGCCCTTCCTGCATCCCTTTGTGGAACCTGGCCTTGAAGATGTTAAAGCTGTGTGTCTGGCAGTGCTTCTCCAGCCTTTTTGGGGCACTGATGGCCCTTCTCTGTCACACACACTCCTGTCAGTGCTGGGAGAATCAAGGTCTCCGAGGTCACATCTTTGGGTGTGCCAAGGAGAGCTCGAGTTTCACACTCTCATTGTTTTTTATCCTCAGGCAGGCAGGACTTTTGATTTCTGGGTTCTTAACTGCGTTCAGGAACAGCACATGCTTGTAGAAATTTTAAACCGTACCAAAATTGAATTAGTGTTTTTAAAAAGCTCATCTCCAATGACAGCGTTTCGGGCCGGCTGGATGCTTCTGAGGAAACAATGACACAATTGTTTTCAACAGAGCCCGCAAACACCCTTTTAAAAAATGAGGGGGGGGAAAGAGCGTTTTTAAACTTTTTTTGCCCAGTTGCTGGGTAGTTGAAGGGCCGGGGAGGCTCTCGGGGCACGGCAGGAGCGAGCCCGGCCCTTCCCGCGGCCGCCCCTCGCTTCGAATCACAACACAGGAAGCGCTGCCGGGGCCAACGGCCGGGAACGGGACTGGGAACGGAGCAGGAGCGGGGACGGAGCGGGGACGGAGCGGGCCAGGGCGGCAGCTCCGGCCCCGCTCCCGAGCAGCGGCCATGGCACAGCCCCTTAATCCCTTCCTGAGCCCAGGCACCGGCTCGGGATTCAAATGAAGCCCGGCCCGGGGTGGGGCGCTCGGCAAGGGGCATCTCGGGGAGAGAGGACAAAGGCAAAGCTGTAAGTGTTCGCGGTTGTTGTTTTTAAACATCATTTCTCGGTGACATTCAGCAGCCGCAGCGGCGACTCGGTTTGGGGTTTACTTGTTGATATTTCACTTTTGAAAGCTGAGGGGTGGTTTGTTTTTAGCAAGGTGACAAGTCGAGTTGCGCCGATATGGATGTTAAAAGTTAACTTCCGGTTTAATCCGTTAAAAATGCAAGAAAATATGGATTTTACTTTTGTTATGGAAGCAACTTTCAAAGTTGGTTTTGGTTTCTATTTTCCTGAGAACTTGCATTTAAATTCTGTAATGCTGGCTTGATTTATTCTTTTTGAGAAGTGACAAAAAGGTGCTGTTTGTCGTGACAGTATAATTCTGTATTTGCCCAAGTTTTTTGAGTCGTTTCTGAGCAATTTCATAGCAGTGAGAAACAACACTTCATTCTGTTGACAACCACGTTTTGTATACAGCTGAAACAATCAGCTAATTCATACTAAATGCATCAAATCCTGACCCAAGTCTGTATCTCCCAGAAATGTTTTAACAAAATAATAAATATTCTGCTCTAAGTAAAGCTTAACTGTAAAGTTGGCCAGACTTGCTGGTTGCTCAGAGTATTTTCCTTGGAGTGCTGACCTGACATGTTCTAAAGCATCATCTGCTCCCAAGGCAATGCAGGACGACAGGATTAAAGGTTCTGGAAGAAATCATGTTTGTTCTTGACTGAGAGAGGAAATGGTAGAACAAAATGTAAAGGCAGGAAGAAAGATAGCACTCATGAGGAATGATTTCTAAATGCAGGCTTTATGCACCGTGCCTGGGCAAGGGGGAGACTCCAAACAATGCTGCTGCTCACAGATTGCTGCTTATCTGGGGTTCTTTGTGGGGCAGGACGGAGGGAAAATAAAACCCCAAACACCACTTTTATTGCTGATAGAGGGACACTGCAGAGCTGAGACAAAACACTGGTTGGAGTTTTTTAAAATCTATATTGATGTTGTCCTGCTTTCCCTTTCCAACTGCTCATTACCAGGCTCACATGAAAGCTCAGAAAGCAGGTAAAGAGCAGCAGCTGGATATGATGAACAAACATTGCCAACAGCTGGAGAGTCGCCTGGATGAAATGCTCTCCAGGATTGCAAAGGAAACTGAGGAAATCAAGGACTTGGAGCAGCAGCTCACTGATGGTAAATTTGAATTTTTTCTTCCAGTATTTATTTTTAGGAAAATGTGACAATCAGGGATTCAGTTTTGTTTATCTTTGTGCAAATGAAATCCGGAACGTGTAGGAAAATGTTGAAAAACTGTTCTTAACTGATGTAAAAGGACACAGTGTGTGTTCACCTCACTCGTACAGGGTTGGGGAAGGTCATTTGTGAGGCTTTTTCCCTTGTTTTCTTTTTCCTTAAGGTAAGGGATAAGGTTTGGAAACTGCCTTGAAGTCAATGAATTTATACATTTACTACACACCTAATCTGTGTAAAAGTGACTATCCCAGAATAGAACATGGTTATAAAAATTGAAACAAAATTGATTTAGGTGTAAAGGTAACAAATGTCACCTTAGGTGAGAGGGAGGAATGAGAGTTAAAAAGAGTTTCTTTTTAACTCTCCCAGTGGTCAGGGAAATCCTGAAAGCACAGGCATTTTCTGCTTGAGTTCCAGGTACTTGTTGTTATTACTTACTCCAAAAGGCAAACATTTAAAGAAGATGAAGAAAGCAAGTTTTGTTTGTTTTGTAAAGAAATGTGGCCTCTTAACATTTGTTTTGCATTTCTGCAGGTCAGATAGCAACAAATGAAGCCCTGAAAAGGGACTTGGAAAGTATCATCATGGGATTGCAGGAGTACCTGCAAAGTGTCAAGTGCCAGGCAAAACAGGCCAATGAGGAATGTAAGAAGTTGCAGAAGGATAAAGAATCTTTGCTGGAAAGATTGGCAGATCTAGAGGAGGATAAAAACAACCTGGAAATGGTTGCCATGGATGCAGAAAATATGAGAAAAGTAAGGCTTAATACCTTTCTTCCCAAATTCAGATGTCTAAGAGTGAACTTGAAAAAAACCAAAAGGCTGATGAGCAGATTTGGGCTAGGGAAGCACAGTTCCTTGGACTTGGTATGGCAACACACCTTGAGAACAGAATCTGGCTTTTAAAACCAGTTGCCAGAGAGTTACAGTAAATATGAACTTCATGGGAGATGCCTCAGAAATGCAGGTTTTACCTTTCAGGCATCGCTACCAATGGACTTGCAGGTGACCCCGTGGGGAGTTGGGCACTGGCCAGGGATGTGTTACCAGCTTGGATCTGTCCTGTCAGCCCTGACTTAGCTGTCCTGGCACCCTGAGGAGTTTGATGTGAGCCTGGATTCCAGGGACACATCACTTGGTCACTCTGTCACCTCGAGCTCCACCTTTCTAACCTGAATGTCCATTTTTGACCAGTCAGAGCAGCATCACTGACCTGACCTTAAACATTAAACCCTTCAAGTTTTAATGTTTAGTGAGTTCCTGGGTTAAAGGGGAAGAGAGGCACTGTACAGAAATCCTGACTCTCTGTGTACATCCTTCTAAACTGACTCTGGAATTCCAGGAAATTGCAATGCTGGAGAGGGCCCTCCAAGAGCAGCAAGAAATAAATGAGTCTCTCCGAGATGCCCAAGGGAAGGTCAGTGCCTACGAGGCTGAGCTGGAGGCCCAGCTGAGAGAGAGGGATGCTGAAGCCAAGCAGCAAAAAGAAGAATTTGAAAGACTGAAACAACTTAGCCAGGTAAGAACAGAGCTCTGGTGCTGCCAGAGATGAGGGAGGACCAAACTTCCCTCCCTACCACACCTCCAGTTGTTGGTTTAGTTGTGCCCCCAAATGGAAGGTGGCACCACTTTGCTGGGCTTTATAACTTTGCTTGGGTCCAGATGGTTTGGTTGGGGTTGTTTTGTTAGATTTATTTTTAGGAGGTGTTGTTATGCTGTTACTGTTTTAAGAGATGCATCTGTTGTTGTGTGTTTAGTGCCAGGTTGGGCCTTGGGAGTGGGGGTGTTAATGTGAAGGTTTTCTGTGTCTCTAGATGGAACTGTCAGCCCTGCAAGCTGAACTTGAAAAAGAAAGGCAGGTGTTGGAGAATGCTCAGACCAAAGCACAGCTGGCAGAAGAGAAGGAACAACAAAATTACAAGCTCCTTTCTCAGTTCAAACAACTGCAGGTGAAGTGTTTGTTGTATTAAAAATTTAAGCTTTTACCATTTGTGGATTTGTTTACTGACATTTGAGTGGATTTTTTTGGTCTTTTTTTTTTTTAGGGAGACAACAATCTCCTGAAAGAACAGCTTAAAGATCTTCAGGACCAGCTAAACCATGCAGTTGGAAACTTAATTCACCCTGAGGAAGTCTTGGCTTGTATAAATGAACTCAGGCAAAAGCTTCAGTCAGGGGCTGGAGAGATTCAGTGAGTAAAACAAAAGTACAAACAGTGTTAGATGTGAAAGGGGCAGTGACTGTTCCTCTGTGCTGGGCACTGGGGAGGCCACACCTCGAATCCTGGGGGCAGTTTTGGACAAGAAAGACATTGAGGGGCTGGAGCATATCCAGGGAAAGGACTGGAGCAGCAGGAGAGGCTGAGGGAGCTGGGGGGGCTCAGCCTGGAGAAAAGGAGGCTCAGGAGGGACCTTCTCACTCTCCACAACTCCCTGACAGGAGGGGGGAGCGAGGGGGAGGTCAGGCTCTGCTCCCAGGGAACAAGGGACAGGATGAGAGGAAACAACCTCAAGCTGTGCCAGGGGAGGTTTAGATTGGATATTTGGGACATTTTCCTCACTGAAAGGGTTGTCAAGCCTTGGAACAGGCTGCCCAGGGCAGAATGAATATATATTGTATGTCTTAAACTTGCACTATTGTCTCAGGCTTCATTATTTCAGTATTGGGCATCACAATTTCAAATGGTTATTTTATGTCTCGGAACCTGGATTGTTTCTCTTTCAGGTGCCCAAATTCAGCTGATGTTGTAGGGAAAAGCCTTGCAAATCTGCAGAGGGAATTTAATGACATCCTTGCTGATGCTGAGAGGGAAAAAGAGAAAGCCTGGGCTAGACAGAGACAATTGCAGGAAGAAATGGGATCCCAGCAGGAAAAGCTGGAAGAATTACAGGAGAAATATAGACAGGCAAGTATCAAACAACTAAAGCAAGAGTATTTCAGCTTAGTCTAAAAAATATAACTTGCAGCTGAAGGATCAAGTTTCATTACAGATGGAGCTTTGCTACACTTTGTCTTTCATGTGACAGTGGAGTCTGGTTTTATTTTTTATTAGCTTTCTGATTTTTGCCTGATTGTTTGGTGAATTAGAATTTAGACTCAATAATACGTCTCAGAGGCAACAAAGAATTGAAGTATCAGGAGAAAATTACAGCTGTTAACCTTCTTGAAAGATCACTGTATATATCACTAACAAAATAACTTGGGCACTCTTAAAATGTTATAGTTACAGGGGCAAAGCAGTTCTTTTTCCTTTCTCTTTTGGTACAAAGTGTGCTGGTGATTGCAGTTCCCAAAAGTTTGTTTAATTAAATCAGAAAAAAAATAAAAGTATTTCTGGCTACTCATTCTAACTTTTTTCACTTATAGGTTAAAGCTGAAAACAGGCAGAATAAGAACAAGGTCCATCAGTTGGAGAATAAAATCCAGCATTTACATGATAAAATAAAGAGCATGGAAGAGATTCAGGGCCTTGCTGACCAGCAGCTCCAGGAGGCAGATGAAGAGAAAGAGGCTATTCTTGCTCAACTGGAGGATTTAGAGAAGAGGGTAAGAATGAGTGAGGGCAGGTCCATGCACTGTGTTTGCTCAGAAAAGAAGACTCAGAAACTTCTGCCTTATTTTGCTTTCTAAGATAAAACAGATACAGGCAGGAACAAAAAGGTTAAATGTAACATCTTCCTTTTCCTTAAATTTTATGGTTTGTCCTTGTTCTAGTTTTTTTTCTGTTACTTCTGTGCATATAATACAAAATGGGATGGAGAGCCTTCCCTCCACGCTGCTTTTTGCTTCAAGCTTTTCAAACATACCATTTTCCTGCTTTCAGAAAAAAATAGAAGATGCCAGGGCACAACTGCAGGTTGTGAGTCTGGATAAGGAGCTGAAGGAGCTGCAGAGAGCCATTGTCACCTCAGATAAGTTGGCAGCCACAGAGCTCTGCCTTGCTAAAAACCAGCTCAAGGCTCTTCGGGGGACTGTGCTCAGGATTAACCAGGAGAGGGCTGAGGTAAATCAGCTTCGATAATTAATTGCTTGTTAATTAAGTGCCATCGCAGTGGGAACAGTCCTGGTGGCTTTTAAATCAGCTTCAGAGCTTCCTTCTGCACTGTCCTGCTGCACAGGGCCAGAGTTTGAAATCCAGAGGCTGAAGGAGTGATTTGGGGATGGGCAGATCCTGCCCTGTGAGGGAAGGTGAGAGAGAGGCAGATTAAACCTTTTATTAGTGGAAAGTCAAGCAATGGATAATCCATTGTTCTGGGAGATAGGAAAGCCAAAGAAAGGACTGTGGAAGGTTGTGCTTGCACAAACTGAAAGAGTTTTTAAAAGTGGGAACCATTTCTGGCTCTGTGCTGACACCTCCTCTGTACAAATCCTGCAAAGTTAAAGGAGAAACATTGTTTTCCATAAACTTTGCCAGTTTCTGGAATGCCAGAACAGGCAGATGCTGATGCTTCTTATTGATCAGCTTTTCCCAATGACACATCTGCAAGCTTTTGAAGTGTTCCTGCAAACTAAAGCTCCACTGAAAATCTCAATTTTTAGGAGATTGAGGAAGCTGAGGAGTTCTGTGCTGAGGCAGCTCGTGCTGCCCGGGATCTGGCCAGGGCAGAAGCAGAAATAGAATTGCTACAACAACAGCTCAAAGAGAAGGAAGAGCAAGTAGGTTGCACTGGTGTTTGTTCATGTTATATTGTATCATGTTCTATGGGAAAATACTCAGCAGTGAGTTTCTCACAATGCCACATTTAGAGGTTCTTGCCCTGCCCTTTTCCCCCAAGTTTTCCCAAGTCAGGATGCTCTTCCCTCCCCTGTCACCTGCCCAAGAACAAAATGAAACCCTCCCTGACTTTTAAGGAAAACCATTCCTTGTTCACTCAATCACCTCCCTGTGGTTGTGGCTCAGCCTCTGTCTCACGAGGGAATGGGAAGAACAATTTTGTTCCCTCCAAGTGTTCTGCTGAGTGAGAATTTTTATAGGGATGGATTGGGCACAGCCAAAAAGTTTTAACACAATCTGATTTAAGCTGAAGTGCTTTGCCTTGATTTAAACTTGTATTTCAAATAGTTTCAGCATGAAATGGAGAAAGCTGGAGAGAAGGCTGTTGCATCAAGCCCTCAGAAGTTTGAAATGGAGAAATTAAATGAAGTTATGGAGCAGCAAAAAGCAGAAATCGACCGTTTAAGATGGTTGTTGGATCATAGTGGGACAGGTAATTCTCTTTTCTCTCCACTTATTGCAGAGAGACAGGGACAAAAAAGACAACTATTCCAAATTTCTCATTGTTTGAGCTGAGAATCTGGAGAATGAGGAGTTCAGAACACCTTCCTGCACAGCTCTATACAGGAGAGGTGTTAATTTTCATTAGTTTGTATTAACAGCACTTTTTGTAGCTGTTTAGAAAACAGGTTGTGCTATGAATTTAATTTATACTGCTCTGGAACACTGTCAGAGATCTGTGTGAGGAAAATGAGCAGCAGTTACCTGGATATGAACTTGTATTTCTACAATTTTAAAATGCCAAACCTCCCAGGGCCAGTGTATGTCTGTCACCAAATACAACATTTAGTTTGGTTCCCTCAGCAGTTAAACTTTTTATTATTGTTTCAGATTACCAGGAAAATAATGAGGGTAATATAATAATAATAATAATAATAATAATAATAATAATAATAATAATAATAATGGTAATAATAATAAAATTAAATTTAATTATTTGCCTTGCATGCCTCTAAAACTGTGATTAATTTACAGTTAACAAAGATGAAGTTGACAACTTACAGGGGGAACTTGCAGCCCTCAGAAATGTGCTCTCCCACCGCAGTGATTGTATTCCCAGCACAGCAGATCCCTGGAAAAGAAGAGGATACTGGTATTACCTGCCACCATCACAGGTCAGGAATAAAAACCCTGCTGTGGATTTTTTTTCCTTTTGGTGTGGGAAAGTGCATTATAAACTTACTGGATTTGGGAGGAACTGCAGAACAAACATTGGCTGCCATGTAAGAGAAATACTGAAACAAAACACACCCAAATGTTCCCTGATAAAGCCCATTACTGTGTGTAACAGGAATCCAGTGTACATAACATTTGGAGACAGCTCCTCAAAGTGCAGTGCTGCAAATTCATTTAGGTAAAGGTTAAAAGGGGATGTTACAGACAGGCATTTACTGGAAAGGAGCATTTGTCTGAGTTTAAAAGAAATATTGTTAAAATATATTTAATGGTCCTTTTTTAAAGCAACATCATGTTTGGGAATGAGCCAGCAGAGTGTGTGTGTAGCCTGCTCCTGAAAAATCATTAGAATGTCTGCAACAAATGCTTTATTTTACATGATTTGTCATTTCTAGATTAACACACGCTGTATTTTTTTTTCTTTAGGCTTCAACTCCTGCTTCCCAGAGCACAAAGGACTCTGGAGTGTGTTTGGGGTGCTCTGGCTCATCCCCACCCAGGAGAGGGGGTGCCCAGGACAGGCCACGTGGGAGGGAAGACTTGCCCAGCCAAGGAGGGTGTTGGGTTTATTCCCCAGCCAGAAATAGGTTGTACAAAGCAAATTCTGGTCGAGGTAAGTCAGTGCCACAGGCTCAGGATGTTCAGGAGCTCACTAAAGATGGACTTGCTTAGAGATCACAGTGGATGTTTTGATGTGCATGAGAGAATATAAATGCTTATTACTGTTGAACTCACTATCCAGTTTCAGCAACATTTGTTACATTTTTGTACCTTATAGAATTTAAAATATTTGAAGACTACTGAAAAAATGATTTAAACTACTGAAAAAATGATTTAAACTACTGGAAAAATGATTTAAACTAACCTGTGGTTTGGGTTTTGGTTGTTTTTTGGTTTTTTTTTTAGGTAAAGATAGAAGAGCGAAAGAAGATGGTGAAGGAAACGCAGGAACTCCTGTTCCAGAAGAGCCTCCCTTTGTGCCACCTCCTGGCACAGTTCTTTACACTGCCCTTCCAGATGGTGCCTCTGCCCCCCAGGGAACAGGGGTTTATGCCCCCCCTCCTGCAGCAGCCAGTGGAGGAGCAGTTGCTCCTGGATCCATCATCCATGGCCCTCCTCCCGTGGGAGCCCAGGTTGTTTATGGCCCTTTGCCTCCAAACTGCACCGTCCCTCTCGTTCCCCTGGGAGTGCTCCACTGCAACGTGCCTGAACACCACGATTTGGTAAGAACCAGGGGGGGAACTGGCTGACAAATGGATTAGAAAAAAAAATCCCTGTGCTGGGAAGGTTCTGGATCTGCTTCTGGGTCTCAGGAGGACGGAACCAGAACACGGATGTTGATTTTCTTGGTGCCTTCCCCGTGTGCAGGAGAGCGAAGTGGCGAGGCTGGAGGACACCGTGTGCTACCTGAAGTCTCAGAAGTACAAAGAGAGGTGCTCAGAGGCAGCTGAGCAGAAACACAAGAGAGAGGTGGAGAAACTGCTTCAAAATGTTGAAGAACTTGAGCACGAAAGGGCAGAGCTGGAGTGTGAGGTGGCAGAGCTGCGGCGAGCGGCTCAGAGGCAGAGCAGGAGCAGGTGAGAGACTGCATGGAGTGCACTGAGAGTCAGCATTGGAAATAACTTTACTCTTGCCCAGTAAAAGTCAGTTTTGACTCATTTACACTCTAGAACTCCAAGAGGCTCCAGGCCTCTGGCGTTTTTGTAGTTTAATTCCATGTTTTTCCTCCCTGACCTTTTAGGGACTTCATTGACGGGTACCCTGACAACCTGCTGGCAGAGCTGCAGTTGGAAAGGTCTCTGAGGCACCAGGAGGACGTTGCAGAGGAGGTTGGGTGTGTGGAGAAGACTCTCCTGAAGCGCAGAGCTGAGCTCAGGGAGGCAGACAGGCTCCTCTCAGAAGCTCAGGTGGAACTGGAGAGCACCAGGGGGAAGGTGAGAAAGCCAGAACTGAGGGCAGAAGGATTTAAGTGTTGCATTGGTTACTTTAAGAAGAGGATTTTTGGTTGTCTAAGCAGTTTATTTTCAGGTGGATAACCTGAAGCCTCTTAAAATGCTTCTGTATGAAAATAAGTCGTGGGATAACCTGTGCTGAAAGAAAATGTTTTAGTCCCTGCCACAGAGGAGGAAGGTTTCCTGCTCAGGCCAAGACAAAAGGTTCTACTTCGTGGTAGAGAGGGAGAAGGCTCAGGTGGAATATTCAAGCCAGGAGGTCCCTTTCCAACAGCTGACTGCAGGATATGAGTGTGGAAATCACAAGATGGGATGTATTGTCTCAGTTTTCAACTTTTCTCTAGGCTAAAGAGACTCTTCAGAAGTACAGTCGTGCCAAAGAGCATCTGTCCTGCACAGAGTCAGAGGCAAAGGAGCTGGAGCAGAGGGCTCAGGAAATGGCCACTAAACTTGTGAGAGCTGCTCAGCAACTCAGGTACCCTGTTCTTGTGGGTCTGTGTCCCAGGGGGATGAGGAGAAGGATTAGATGCTTTCCAGTATCAAAGTAGTGCTTTTGGAGAAGGAGAGCTGTTCAAATGTTAATATAAAAAGGTAAAAATCCTTTTTTAGGTTATTACAGGCAGATACAAGGGATTTGGAACAGCACAAGAGGGAACAAGAAGGTATTTTGAAGGAAATCAACCAAATGGTGGCTGCAAGAGACTCTGAGTTCCAGTCGCTGAACCAGAAGATAGAAATGCTCTCTGAAAGGCAAGGGGTTGGAATTTACCATTAGATTAAATAAAGAAGTCCTCCTCCAATAAGTCACTGCCTTAAATATTCTCTCCTCTTTTGACTCGTGTTTTATCCTCCCTCCCAGTCTTCAGAAGCTTCAAGGAGATATTAGACTGGCAGAAGGCAACGAGGACCATCACCTCCAGATCATCAGAGAAGCAGAAAGCCTTGTTCAGGGCAAGAAAACTGAACTGGAAACACTGAAAGATCAGGTAAAGCTCAGCTTACTGACCCTGGGCTACCAATTTTATTGGTTCTGATGGAACTGAAGGCTGAGAAGAGTCTTAAGTCACTTGTTCTTGTTTGTGTGTGAAGCCACAAGACCAAAATCTTTCAGCTGATTCTTCTGTTAACCTTGTGCTCTGTAGATTTCTGCTCAGCAGCAAGAGCTCCTGTTCCTGGAGCAGCAGGTGAAGCAGAGAACAGAAGAGCTCCATGTCCTGCAGGACTGCATTTCCCTAAAGAAAGGGGACCTCAAGGAAGCCCTTCGGGATGGAGAGACAGAAGCACAGGAAAAACTGCGCCAGATAAGGGTGAGTCTGTTCCAAATCAGCTCCCAGATCATTAGAGGAAAAGAATTGGAGCAGCAAAAACATTCCATGAAGTTCCCATAAAGTCAGTTTGGCTTTCTACCACCTCCCCAAAGCCACTGAAAAATGGGGTTATGGAAAATGAACGTGCAAGTTTATGGGTTTGTGTGACTAAAAGCAACTAAGAACTCCCCAGCTCCAGTAATTCTGACAGAATTGGCCCCCTGAGAACTAAATGACATTAATGACTTCCTGTGGCTGAGATGAGCAAATCAGTGTGATCAGTGTGTGTCAAACACAACACAGCTGCCTGTGCCCAGCCCCACTTACACTGAAAGGATTCTGTGCTTCCTTTCTGAAATAAAAACAAAGTATAAGGTTAATTATATTTTGTGGTTTGGTTTTTTTCGTGGGGGCTTCCTGTCTGGCTTTGTTTTAATGGCTGTTATTCACTGCAATGACAGTGTTATGGTCAGACTTGTAGATCAAAACCTTTGCAGAATTACTGTAAATAATCAACCAGCAAGACTTCAACCTAAACATTCTGTATTTTTGTTTGTTAAACAGTATAATGGAATTAAATGGAGCAGAATATTGACGACAGACAACTAAATAATGTTATAAATATTTACACCTTCTATTTAAAGGATTGCAAGTAATGGCATTCCTTGTGACACTGATATATTTCCACAGGAAATAAAAGTAATTTTGGAAGAGCTTAACGTTGAGAGAAAAGAACTGGATGCCCAGTTGAGTGAGAGAAGAGCACAGCTTGCATTCCTGAACAAGGATATTAGAAAGGAGGAAGAAAACCTTCAAGGAATCCTTGGGCAGATCACCAAGCACAAGATGGGTATGGCCCTGGGTTTTCTCACTGCTGTTTTGATTGGAAAGAAACACACAGAGCTCTTCTCTCATCCTGATCCAATAACCTTTATTTATTTCACCTTTCTAGAACTGAAACATGTTCTGGAAACGCTGGAGCTTGAAAAGAACGAACTTCAAGGTTTGAAAGTACAGCATGAGCAGAAGGTCAAGGAGCTGGAGAAGACTCAGGTGGCAGTTCTGGAGGTGAGTGTTGCTTCTGATACAGGGACTGGGAGAGGTTCTGTGGTTCTGTGAAGCTCTGGGTAACAGAGTCCTGATGCTTTTAAATCAATCAGTTTCTAATCTGATTTGAGCTTATCACAGAAAAGCCTCAAGTCTGCTTAGACCCTTTAAAATAATGGGATTTTTTGGTGCAGGGGGGGAGAGGGGGCAGAAAGACAGAAGGGGCTGTTGGATGATGGGAACAGTTTTCTTAGCATGAGCTTCCAGAGTCTTTTTCTCTGGATTCTGTTTGTGTCCTCACTTGCCCAGGGTGAGTCTCATTCCCACCACAACCTTCCTCACAAATCCCCTCCAACCCTGCCAGGTTTTCAAACTGCTGCAGGACGTTAATACTTGTTCTCCTTCTGGATCACAGAAATATGTTCAAAATGCCTGTTTGGTTTTTTTTTTATTGTGCAGGAGAAGCTAAAACTGGAGAACATTCAGAGGTTATTTCAGTGCCAGCAAGGGGAAGTGGAGAGGCAGGAACAGCTCCTGGAGAAGGACCGGCAGGAGAACCACCAGCTGCTTTCCCAAATGCAAACTCTGCAGAACAACGTCCAGGTCTTGGCTAAGGAGAAGGAAAAGCTCCAGGAAGACTCCTGGAGTCTGGAGAAGAGGTTGTCACAAACCAGGAGGTGGGGGGATATTTTCTTGCTGCAAAGCTCAGAAGGGCTGGGAAGTGCATGGAATGCCTAATTTTATCAGAATTAAAAATACAGCTGTAACTTTGAGGTGCCAAATTATGCAGAATGTGCAGCTCCTTCTGTCTTGGGGAGGTTTTATCTTAAGCCTGAATGCAATAACTTAGAGAAAATACTCAGCAGTGGAGCTGGTGAATTCAACAGCATTTGTTATATCCTGGCACTGCCACGAGAAACGTTAAAAAAGTCAAATATTGAGTCTTGGAATGGGACATTTGTCTTGCTCTGACTGCTGGGTACCACCCCCTTGGGCTGAGGAGATTTTACTGACATGTTTTAAGGATTTTCAACCAACCAAGAGTATCTATTCACATTTTACAGAGACCTAACTGCTGCTGAAGACAGCAGCAGAACTGCACTGTCCAACGTAGAAAAAATGGAATTAAAGGTTAAGAACCTGCAGCAGGAGGTGGAGCTACTGAGCAGGCAGAGGAAATCACTGAATGGAGAGATTGTTGCTGTCCAGGAGGATCTTCAAGGTAAAGATCAGTTTTTGGGTTTAAGCTGTAGTACATTTCAAGAGAAATTGTGTTAAAAGACACACTTTAACTGAGGTGTCTGATATTAAATATCCAACGTGCTCAGGTGTCTCCAGGCAGAAAGTGTCAAAAAGATGGAAATTTTAGAAACTGCTTCTATTGTTCATTCTTCACTTAAGAGAGAATTTCTGTGTGCAGGGATTTCAAACTGCTGATTGAAAGACTCTTGTTGCCAAATATTTTTCTAGGAAAAAAGGAAGAACTAGAAACAGTGAAAGGAGAACTGAGTGACTCCAGGGAGCAGCTCCAAGCAGTGGCACAGGTTGGTTTTAGTGAAACACGAATTTATTGTCACAGGGGGAGGAGGTTGAGGCACAGCAGGCACAGCCCATCCCCTGTTTGTCTGGGCACTCCAGCTCAGCCTCAGAGCCTGGCAGAGCTCAGAAACTGAGTCTGGAGTGAGTTTGATTGTTTTTTAAGAAGATACTTTTAAAACCAACCAACCAGCCAGCCCTGGTTTCTCCCCTGGTGGTTCCTGCTGTGTCAGTCCACTCAGGGGGTTTGCATGGAAGGAAATGCTCAGGGTGACCAGGGTTGGGGAGTTCTGTGCTCTCAAACACAACTCTACTGGCCAGAGAGCTGCTCCTCTCACCAGCTCCTCCTCTCACTTGGCTTTGGTTTGTGTTGCAGGATTTGAAGAACAACACGAGGCAGCAGGAGGAGCTGCTGAGGGAGCAGGCAGCCCTGAGAGGAGACATCCAGGAGTATTTGAGGAAGCGTAGGGATCACCAGGAGAGGCAGAGGAAGAGGGAGAACCAATTGGAGGAGCTCCAGAAAAAGATTGAAGAGAAGGAAACAGAACTGGCTGAACAGGAAGAGGTAACAAGCCCCCTGACTTGCCTCACTTCCCCTGAGCTGAAAAGTAACTCAGCCAAAAAGTGTGGGGGGAGAGTTTACCAACAACCACAGCCTGGCTTGGGTTGGGAGGGACCTTAAAGCTCATCCAGTTCTTTCCAGTTTATGCTGCTTTAGCTTCCATAATGTTCCTTAGAGGTGGTTTTTGTTCTCCTTGCTGTTCAAGCTCTGAGTGGGGGGTTTTCTGGCAGGTTCTCCATCACCTCAAGCGAAGTTCAGAGCGTGAAGGAAAAAAGCTGGAAGAATGTACAGCTAAAGTGGAAGAGGAGAGAATCCTCTTGGAAAAGGAACTTGCAGATCAGCACAAGAAACTGGAGCAGACAATAGCAAAAGTCAGGCTGGCAGAGGAAAACCTTGGGAAGCTGGAAAAGGAGTCATCCAGATGTGCAGCTCTGGAAGAAACTGTCAGAAAAAGCAGTAAGTCATTGCCCAAATTAATTGTTTCCACCTCTGGGTCCTCAGTCTAATGGAACCAACAAATATTTCTGTTCATCTCACTTGGTTTCTTGGTGTTTGAAAAGTGTCTGCTGTGTGTGAAATGTGCCAGGATGGTTCAGGCTCTGCTAATCATGTTAATTAAACATGTTAATTACAGAACAGCAGCTCTCAGAAAGAGAATCACAGTTACAACAGAAAGACAGAGAAATCCAGTGTCTTCAGGAGGAACTGGAAGTCTCCAAGTCTGAGCTAAAGCAGCTCCAAGATCTGATGGTGTCAGAGAGGAGAGAAGCAGAAAAACAAATCTTGAGTCTGAAAGAAAAACAGAAAATGCAAAGGAAGGAGCTGGAAAGAAAACTGCAGGTAAGTCCTGGCTGAGGGGAGAAGGTTTGGGGGGTTATTTTAAACAGCAAAATGATAGAACACCCATTTTTGTATAGGAGGAACAAAACCCCCTGGCCAGACACAACTTGAGGCAACCAACCTCTGGTATTTCCAGGCTGTGCTGCAGAAAACCTGAGTTACTCCTCTTTAATCCTGTTTCTGCCTTTTAACTTGAAGACATTATGTGGGTTCTCTCAGTTCATATTTGTGCACTGGATGCTCCCACTAAAAGGCATCTTCCTGCATTTTCCCAGGAACAAAGGCATGAAAACACCAGTTTGCAGAGTGATGTGGCAACAGCTGAGCAAGTGGCCCTCAGGAACCACCAACGAGCCAAGAGCCTCGTGAAGGACCTGGGGCAGATCCAGCAGCACTACAGGGACCTCCAGAGCCAGGTGGGTTTGAGGGTTGATCCCTCCCAGACAGGTTCATTTGTACTGGGTTTGAATCTCCTGTCTGCTCTGTCACAATGACAAATACACCTCCCTGGCATAACCAGTCATGATTTATGCAAATTGCTAAATGTTATCAACCTTCAGAGCTACTCAGGGAGCCTTTAACAACCTGTCAGTGCCAGCCTGGGCCAGCCTCTGCTTTTGAGACTCACTTGGAATTAAAAGTGATTCCACCTTGTCTGATGCCTTCTAGTCCTTTATTAAATCCTTTATAAATTGCTTCCAAGCCCTTTAAAAATGAGGTCCTGCAGAGAAGAATGTTGTTGGCAACTGGAAAGTATTCAGGAAGGCCCTGCAAGGTTTAAGTTGTGTCCTGGAGTTTTCTGTTCCCATCTAGGGGGTTTCCCTGGCAGAGTTAATGTTGGATCTAGAGCTGCAGCTGGGCAGAGGTTTTGGGGGTTCTGACTGCAGTGGTTCAGGTGTAACCCTTTCAAAGTAGCCCCTCTGGACAGGTGAGGTGTCTGTAACCCAGTGCTGAGATTGTTCTGTGCTACAGGTCAAAACCCTGGAGGAGAGACAAAGGGAAATGGAGAGTGCAGCAACATTGCTTAACCTGGAGGTCGAAGATGAAATTAGGACAGGGTTTAAATCTTCCAACTCCTCTTCTCTGTACCCGTTGGAGGATCTGGAAACATCCTCTGAAGCAAAGGGAAGCCCGTTGTGTGACTCTGGGGACTGGGAGCCCTTTGCTGCTGCTGACAGACAGCTCCTGTCCCAGGGAGACAAGTGGAACATCTCCAGTATCTTCTTAATGGTAAAAAGCTTTGGGAAAGCAGCTGCTGCTGGTGCTGCAGCCACGTGTGGGGGTCCCTGTCCCTGTCCCTGCTGTGCTCATGTGCCTCTGTTTCCCCAGGACGAGCAGTGGCGGGGGGAGGCGCTCCGGGAGCAGCTCCAGCAGCACCAGGACCGGCTCAAGGTGCCACATCTGTGCCTGTCACACCCACCCGGCCCCGGGGCCACTTCCACACCCCCCCCAAACACCCCAGGGCTGTGGGATCCACCCCCAGCTCGGCCAAATCCACTCTGGAGTGACCAGGGACAGGAGCTTTGAGTGGGGGAAAGTAAAACAGTAAAAGCCTGGCAATGCAGGCTGGAGCAAGATGAGTAATTTTAATTAGCAGTTAAGTGGATTTTAGAGTATCCCAAGAAGATTCCCTCAGTTCTATCACACTGTGGTGTATCAGCAACACGACAGATGAGTTCAGGGCCACCCATCATCACATGAAGGCGATGGGGGGGTTCAGTTAGAACATGGCAAAGGCCATCAAAACAGAGCCTGTTTAAAAACAACTCCCTAACCCCCTGCCCCCTGCTTGTGGTGTGAGACTGAACATTCCAGCCCTTATGGCTTGACTTGACCTTTTCAATAGGGTGGGAAGGGGCCCTGCCTGGTGTAACCAGGCCTGTCCTGTGTGCAGTGGGCAGTGCCCTGGTGTGACCCCCCTGTCTGTGCCCAGGCCCAGCTCTGGCAGTCCCTGGCCCAGCAGGCCGAGGTGCTGCTCCGGGGGAAGCAACAGACAGCTGGGAGCCTGCACAGCCTGCAGAGACAGCTCGATGAGCTCCACAACCTGCTCAGCAGCTCTGCCTCAGATTCACTGCTCCTGGCCAGGAGCTCCAGCCTGGGATCTCTCAACAGCACCCTGAATTCAACAAGAACTCAGGTAATGTGCTGCTGTGGGCAGCAATTCTATTTTGGGGGGGTTTAATGGTTTTTTATTCTCACTGTGCAGGGGCTTCTGAAGGGGGGTGATCACACCCTGCACTTACTCTGGCAGTAGCTGATGTATTTGGAAAGGTTGAGCTTTCCTTGGAGTGGTTTGGCCTTTTTTTTCTTTTTTTTTAATCTTTTCTTCTCAAAAATCAAATTTTTTCTTGTTTTTACAAAGTCTAATATTTCTGCTAATTGCAGACATTAATTACTCTGACTTTACTGCTTTTCCCAGGCCTCTCTGCCAGGCCTTGCCGGGGTCCCCAGCAGGCCGGGAAGTGTCTCAGGATCTCCCATGGCCCGTTCCTGCTCCCAAGGAATCTCTCGGTGAAGCCAGAGGTGAGACACGACTTGAGCCTGGTCCAGCCTCCCTGAGAGCCTGGAATGCCAAGGGACACGGGGCAGGTGGGGGTTCCCAGCCCCCTGTCCCCTCCCAGTGCCTGCAGTGTCTGTCCTGGTTTAGGGGGTGTGTTCTGCAGGAGTCTCTGGGCAGGAGCTGCTGGGAGCTCTCCTGTGCCACAGAGGGACCAAGTTAAACATTAATTAAGCTTTGCCATCCTTGGCCTTTCAGTAACACGTTTTTGGCTTAGGAACTGTCCAGCCCAGTGGCTGAGCCTCTGCTAGGGCTGTTCCACAGCAGCCTGGGACAGAAATGTTCTTTTGGACCAGCTGAAGTTAAAATTGGTACTTGAAAAGTGGCTTCACGTTGGAAGAGCTCAGAGCACATCCCCAGCTTGGCTGTGAGCCCTCAGCTGCTGCCTCTGAAGACTTCTCCTACCTCACTGTGTGAGCCCTGTCTGGAAAGGCCTTTGCCCACAGGAGCTGCTGCAGGGCCTGCACTGTGCTGTGAAGGTTTTGTACAACTGAAGAACAGGTTTATGTATATGTTGGTTTTTTTTTTTTAAATAACTATTTTAAATGAGTATTTAAATGTGCCCAAAACCACCTCCTATTTAAGTGCTCAGCTCTCGGCCAATTTTGACTTTACAGAAACCTTGTTACAAGGCTGGAGTTGTCCCTTGACCTGTTGCCAAATGCATGGAGGTTTTAAGTACAATTATTTTTTTGAGTACTTCCTTAAAATAAACTTTTGTGATCTATGCTTTTACGTGGGGCTGGTTGTGGGTTCTTTTCCTTAAAGCTGCTCTCCAGGACACTGAGCTCCTCACCCAGCACAGCCCTGGACAGCAGTGGCTCCCCCAGCAGAAATGTGTCCAATTCTGGCATTTCTGGCCTTGTAACTCTTCCTGGCTGCTGGGGGTGAGCTCTCAGCAACCCTTCACTCTCCAGAGGCTTTGTGGATACAGTTAATGGCTTCAGAAAGAATCCAGAGGCTTTGTGGATACAGTTAATGGCTTCAGAAACAAAATTCCAAGCAACCTACTCCTAATTAGTAGGGGAAAAGCCACTTTGTAAATCCTTCAGGCACCAGCCCTGGGAAACGCCAGAGTGACTCTGTCCCAGCCCTCTCTACCTGTCCCATGAACAGGCTTTGGAATCAGTCTCAGTCTTGCCCTTTCTCATCCACATTATTAATATAAACCTGTTCTATGCAGCATCACCCAGCAACTCGCAGCTTACTGGGAACAAACACCAGAGCCCTGCTGGCCCTGCCCTGTTCCCCCTAAAGAACAGCTCTGGAAGAGGGGGACAAACTCCTCCTGCAAACTGTGGTTGGTACCACTTCAGGTCCAGGGTGGAGGCTGAGCACAAACCCCAGCTCTAGAAGGATCTCTCACCCCTCAGAGGCCCCCCAGCAAATGACACACAGCAGTGAGGTTTATCTAGATACAGGTACTTTATTTACAAATATTTAGATTAATAGCATTGTTACATCAAATGAGGAGTACAGCAGTCCAACCAGATCCTTTCTGTGACAGAAACAATCAGACCTACTGAACTGACTCCGGGAGTACAGGTATTGCACCTCAACAAGCTGTAGTCATTACAACACTGACTTCACACCAGCAGCAGGTCGTGGTCCCTGGGCAAGCCCTGGTGCAGCCTCGGGGGAAGCAGATGCAGGAGCTGGAGATCTCGGACATACCCATCTACTGAGGAACAGGAGGTAAAAAAGGACTAACCAGACAAAACAGAGGGACAGTGCACAAGTTACCCAAACCCACTGTCTGCACATTCCAGTTTTGGCTTTTATTTAACAAGGACTGTACAATACTCTGGTACCACTGGTTACTTACAAGTCTGAACATTGTGGAGTTTTAGTGTCTAGAGCGGGATTTTAAGGCTACTTTGTATTTGAAACGCTGCAGTGAGCCTGAGGTGGGACATTAAGCACTTACCCTTCCATTTTTAAACCATGTGATGTTTCCCAAGTGAAGCTGCACTTGGAGCCACAGTTAAAACCTCCCCTTAGTGCAGCAACATTCCCCCCGTGCAGGGTCACCACGTGACACCCCTCACACACAGAAGGATGTACTCCAAGGCTGGATGCAAAACCCTTAAAAAAACCCCTCACACAGGACTGGTAAAAAATACAACAGCAGTTAAAATCCCTGGAGAGCACATGTTGTTCCAAGTGTCCAGTTCAGCCTCTGCCCATTCCCAAAGGTACAGGTACAAAAGCAGGGGGTGTGCGAGAGCCCCGGCCACGGATGGAGCCTGAGAAGGGCAACGAGAAGCAGAGGGGAGAGAACCCCCAGTGCAGAGATGAGACAGATCCCACTAGTGTTAATGTCTGTGTCCCCAGCACCGCATCCCTGGGGACACTGGGAATGCTGCCTGGGAGCTGCAGCCAGGGCCGGGCTGTGCTGCCAGGGCAGGTGGGCACAGAGAGCTCAGACTGTACAAACGGGGTTTTCTTACACACTGTTCTAATGCCAGGCATCGGTTTCTTCAATAAAATCATATACACAGGATGTATTTAACTGTTAGCTCAGTTCCTTCAAATTTTATACATATTTACGTTCTGTTAACAAATGGAAAGGAGAGAAGTGGCAAAAAAAAGGACATAAAGCTATTGAGCACAAGAATGAACAGGTCACTTCCCGGCGCCACCCCGACCCCCAACACATCCCACAGGGAATTCTTCCAACAAAGCACATGGTTACAGAGCCCCTCGCTACCATCGGAAGTCATTTCACAGCAAAAACTCATCCTTTACTATGGACAGCTCCAACAGTTAGAGGTGGGGGAGAAAGGCCAAAGAACCATAAAATTAAACCATACAAGACAAAAGCCCTGCGAAAGTGTAAAATCAGGAGTCCAGCATCAGTGCTCAGTTTAAATTATGTATCGGTGACACTATCACAAGGACAATCAAGGAAAAAAAAAAAACTTCTAGATTTACCATGCAGGAGAGGTTTTATTACTCTACTTGCCTTTGATAACCTGATTACATCTAAAGTTGTTTAGCAGTTTAGTACTGTGTTAAACTTGTCTCAAGAGTTTTAATTAAACCCAGTAAGATGTACAGAAGACGGGGCAGCGGCCAAAAGCAGCGCTCCCGAGAGCAGAGGTGTGGGGTCAGAGGAGCCCTGGAGGGTCAGAGGAGCCCTGGAGGGTCAGAGGAGCCCTGGAGGGTCACTAGCAGCCACAGCCTTCCCTCTGGGGCTGGGGTTCGCTCGTTAGCCGCCCGCCCTGCGGGGCCGATGGTTTGTGCTGTACGCCCGACTCGGCCGCGTTCAGGTCCAGGCTCCCGTCTTGGATGTTCTGGTAGATCTTCTTGGCGGCCTCCAGGAACGCGTCCTCCACGTTCTCCCCACTGCAAGAGAGCGGCAGAGTTACGGGGCTGCCCCTCAGCATGGCAGGGACACCGTGCTGGGATCCCACCGGGGCTCCCCTGGAGCCGCCCGAGCCCAGCTCCAACCCCGTCCGTGGGACAGACCCGGCAGCAGGAACCTCCTGGCCACTGCACCCAGCAGAGAATGAACCACTGAGCAGCAAAAACAAACCAAGGCGTCGAGCCACGGGCACAGGACAGCTCTGACAGAGGCCCAAAGAAGTTCCCCTCTGCCAGGTGCCAGTGGGAGCCCCAGTTCCTGGTGTCCCTGAGACCTGCTCCCCCTGGGACACAGCCAGCCCCAGGCACAGCAACTCCTCAGGGACTGAAGGGACCAGAACAAACTCTACAGCCTGAAACACCCGAGGGAAGGAATGTCTGGTTGGGAAACACTGACCCACGTGTACACATTCCACACTCAGACAAGGCCTTATATCCCAGTTGGTTCATTTGGATTCAACCAGTGTTTGAAATGTAGCCAGAGCTCTAATTCCTGAGTTACATTCAAGTCAAAGCTGCTGAACACACCTCACCCTCCAAGGGAGCTCAGAAACGTTTGTCTGCTCTCTTATGCACTTGCAGCCCCTTCCCATACCCAGCTCCACGGCTGCTCTTGGTCACAACCAATATATTCCTCTTAAACAGATGGATCTGAACCATTATTGCAGATAAAAGCCACTTACGTTTTTGCACTTGCTTCGAGGAACAATAAACCTGTTCAGAAACAGAGGTTTAACAGTCAATGCACAACACACCAAAGAGCCCCAAGTCAGACACATTCAGATACTCATGACCTTCAGTTACATGCAAGACACTATTTTAGTACTAAACAACATTGACTCAAATTGATTTCTAGAACTAAGACAGTGAGCACCAAGCCAGACTGCCTCGGGCACGGGAGTTGTACATACAATTCCAGGACTTTGGAAGAGTAAGCTCACAGCTATCAGTGCTCAGGAGCCACTTTAACAGCACTATCTTGTAGGAAATGTACCAGCCCAAGAGAAAAAACACACCATTTTCTTCAGCAAATTGTTTGGCTTCTTCATATGTAACATCCCTCTGTGCTTCCAGGTCTGCTTTGTTTCCTATGAGGATTATCACCTGGTTTGGGAGAGACAAAGTTAGTCTGGGAAAAAGCTCGTGAGCATTTTCATTGCCGTCCTCGTTTGTGATAAGACTAAAAAACCAGAAGAAAATATGCAGAGCAGGTTATCTGCAGAGGCCACGCTCCTCCAGGAGAGCTCTGCTCTAGCATTCCCCACTCTGGGAAGGCAGGAACAGCATCTCCAGCCTTCCAGTGCTTTAGGCTGTTCTCAGGAGACCAGGTCCTAAAAAGCAGTGCTGCTACTCTTTGTTCATGAGCTGGACCCTGAGCCACTTCTTGTGTTTGTTTAATCATCTGCCAATCCAGACAGAATCTTTAGAGGTTTCTTTTGTCACAGCAGAGTCTTCTCATCAGTTTGGTGCTAAAGTATTTTAGAGGCATTCAAGAAAAGGCTGAAGGACAAGAGTTGTGTGGTATGGTCAGAAAGACCTAGAAGAGGAACCTTCAACCTTCCTCCCCATCCCTATGGAAGCCCTGGTCAGCTTTTGCTGAAGATCCAATTCCCATTCCAACCTCAGACAAGAGAGCATTCACCTCGTCACTACCACAGAGCAAGAAGAGGAACACAAGTTAGAGCTGGTCCAACTTCATCACAGTTTATCTCCAACTGCTTCAAGCAGCCCCTGAAAGGTGAGTGGCACAGCAAGACTTTTAGAAGGAGCCCCTTTTGCTGCAGCTGCAGTCAGGGAAGCAAGGGAAGCACTGCAAGGACTGGAGAGAACACAGGCAGCTCTGCAGAGCCCACTGCAGGTGCCTCAGGCTGAGCCTCCCCCCTCTGGCTCAGGGAGCAGCAATGCTGCTTTCCAGCTAAATAAAGTCCAACTTACAGTATTTGGATTGGTGAGGTTCCTTGCATCTGTCAGCCAGCTGCTTAAGTGATTATATGTACTTCTTCTGCAAAGAACCAAGTGAGGACAGTTTTAGCCTGGGTATTTTATAAAATATTTAAGTGCCTATAGCACAGTCAGCATCCACCAAGCAAACATCCACCACCCCTGCTCTTCTCCCCACCTCCAGACACACAAAGCAGCAGTTTGGGCTCAGACCAACATTTCAAGTCAACTTTTACCCCCCGGAGCAGCTCTTACAACACGTGTGGAAAGCCAGAGCAATTCCCATTTCTGCACACAGAGAACCTTGGTGTTGTTCTGCACAGAACACATAAAAGGCTTTCCTGTCAATCATCCTCACAGAACACTGAGCAGCACAAGAGCACTTTGGTAACAAACTGCAGATGATGTTTTACTCAAGACTTACACAAACAGGAAAGGCACCTCCACGTGCAGGAAGAAACAAGAGGTGCTTGACAAGTATGGAGAACAGCCCCAGAGGGAGAGGTGTGAAACAGAGGTACTTCATGGTGCATCTGCTGAATTGCTGCTTCAGCAGCACCTTCAGCTCCCCCCTCTCCTGGGCAGTGCCAGCCTGGGAAGGCCCAGGGCAGCAGGGCTGTGCTCCCTCCACACACCATCCCAGCACTGCGGCAGTGCCCGGGGCTGTGCCCACGCTGGGAACACTCTGCCAGGTGAGGGCAGTGCCCAGGGCCCCCCAGGAGACAAATCCACGTGCTGAGGAGCAGCTTTTAAGGACAAAGCCAGTTCTCTAAAAAAGCTTCAACCCAGGCAGCCACGGCCTGAAATGGTGAGATCCTCAGGCCTGTCAGCAGCGACATTTCCCAAGGAAAGCAGCCACACAATTCCTTAGGGATTTATACAAAGTGTGGAACTGTCACACAACAGGACACTGATCATCCAGACACAAGCCAAGGGCACAGATAAGACAGGACACACAAGAGCTCCTGCCCTTACCTGGTGATGTCGTAGACCATGAGAGCTCCTGCTGCTCCTCTGTAGTAGCTTCGTGTGACAGCCCTGAATCTCTCTTGTCCTGCTGTATCCCAAATCTGTAGTTTAATTTTTTGGCCACTAACTTCAATTATTCTTGTGCCAAATTCAACACCAATTGTGTGGGGACAGTCTGCCATAACTGCCATGAGAAACAAGAGCAAAGATCAGATCTCTCCAGGACAAGGTTTCCTTGCTGCAAAGATGTGACTATCAGCAGTTTGCAGTTATCTTTACTAGATTTTCAGTCTCTAAGAAAGCATTTTTACAGCTACAGTTCCCAAACCGTATCACTTAAACAGAAATAAAATGCTGTATTTCCTGAGCTGCAGTTAGTTTTAAAAACAGTTATAAAATTCCTTGCCTTCTCTGCTGCTGTTTGGCCATACATATCAGAAGGTATCAAGTCAGCTGATTCCCAGTCTATCCTTGCAGAAACTATTTCAATGCAGTGGGAAAAGATAACTTTTAGGGAATTACCAAGAAAGATACAGTTCAAAAGTCTGTAACATCTTCAAAAACAAGTATCTGGGTTGTTTCAGACAGGGCAACCACACGACTGTGCACAGGAAATGCCACTTTCATAAGGAGCTCTAAACACAACAAATCAAACCCCAGAAGGCATCTTTCCACTTCTGATAAACTCAGGTTAATAAGAAAGATCAAGAAAATACAGGAAGGGTGAGGAGCTCCTCAGGCTCCCTGCAGTTAGTGACAGTCACAGCAGAGGGGTTTGGTGCTGACAGACCAAGAACAAGACACATCCCCACTGAGAATCTGACCACAGGTAAAGTGGTATTGAAATAATCGGTTGAAACTGCATTTTAATCAAAAATAACAGTCAGAAAATCCTATTTCTACTAAAAAACAAGTCTTTTAAACTGCAGCTCCTACCCACTTGTTACCACACCTCGAGTAGCACATGGTGAGCTCAGACTGACTCTGTGCTGATAAATACCTGCAGAATTACTCAGGGAGTGAGGTAACAACTGCTGCAAACCACAAGGCAACACACTTTAGGAGCTAATTCTTAATTAAGGATGATACCATATATAAAAGAATGTTTGAGACAGACTGCAGTGAGCCTGAAACACCATCACCCAGGGCAGGCCAAGTGTCCTGACTCACAGAGCTGCAGGCAATGGCAGTGCTGCTCAAGGCTGCAAACAAGAGAAATTAATCCTTTTTTCTTTTTGAACTCCTGAACAGCCTTAAAAACTCCAGGTGCTTGTGAGCAAGCGACACCAATACTGAAATCATAACATTTCAGACAAGAGATTTCGCTTTGTTCCGAATCAAAATTCCCCAGAAAAGCTGTAAAAGCAGATCTTGTTCTTCCCACTCCTCACAGGCAGGACTTTTACCATTGCTACATCAACATTTTGTCTCTACATCTGCAGAAGTCAAAGCAAAAAACCTGACCCAGTACAGTCCAGACAGATTCACACAGCAAATGCAGCTCATGCACCATGGAAGCAAACAGGCAGGAAAAGAGGGGTGGAGACACAGGAAAAATGCTGGGAACTGAAATACTCACACTTCTTTTCTGTGAATTGATGAAGCAAACAGGACTTTCCTACACCCATGTCCCCTGTTACAGAGAGAAGAGTTAAATCATTGTTGCAACAAGCACGTTTTCTTCATCCCACACAACAAATGGTGCAGACAGGCAGCCACTCCTTTCCCAGGAGCTACAGCCCTTCAATTTGTCACTTCTACCCCAGAGCCTTGGGTACAGGTACAGGGCTGCAAGCAACTCCAAAAATAACTGAATTTGTATTCCTGACTTTACAACTGTATTTCACAAGGTTATAAAAATACTGACAAGAAATCACTTCCACTGATCCACTTGCACAATGCCAAGACTGAGGCACAGCAAGATGTTTTAACAACTGACTTTTCCAGAGGCTGAGGCTTCACAGCAGCCTTACAAACCTGTACAGTAACACTGCAGATCACTTACACCTACACAAGGCCATTAACAATTAAACAATTAACAGCCAGACCAGTTCTTCCAGGATAGTAATGAATGTAATCAAGTCCCTGACTCCAAACAGCCAAGGAAGCTGCAGCTAAAGCAACATTTGAACACAAAAATTGTCTTCTCTGCAGGAGGTTTATAAGCCTCATGCAATGGTTTCCAATCAGCAGTTGTGCCTTCAACAGAAATTCTGACACCTTTGAGAGTAATGATGCAAAGTGCTCGAGTAAACCCGAACCAACACAACATCCCAGTTGTGCTGACTCCCAGGCATTTCTTCCCCATTTCCCCATCCAAAGCAGTTTTTAAGAGGAACTCAGCAACTGGGGGAACTCAGCACAGGCACTGGGCCTTGCCTCCCCCCCCAGCTCCAGTTCTGGGGCACACAGAGGCATTTTTGCCTTTATGTTGTCGCTGCTGCTGAAGCTTCAGAGCAAGTGTGGTGACCTGAGGTGGGACAGACACCCCCTGAAAGCAGCAGTGGCACAGCCCCAGGTTCCTCCCCCACCCACAGCCCCACACAGCCAGGGCTGTGCCCAGTGGTACTCACCAATAATGATGTACTTAAAGATGTAGGAATAGTTGTAAGGTGCAGTTGCCATTGTGGCACTAAAACAGAAAAACAGAACACGTCAGAACTGGGACTTGGTCACCAAACTCAACCCCATTCATCCAATTTAGTTCATATCAGCAACTCCCTCCAGCTACCCTTTCAGTCCCAGTTCAAATTTGTGCAGCTCCCCAGAGTCACTGACTTAGTGCCACAGACACCCAGCAAGCTCCCACATTGTTTACTCTGAACTCTAAGCAGAAAAATGCTCTGATACTTAATGAATTTTATCCAGAAAGGCTTAAAGCTGTTGGAAAGCTCAGTCCCTCCTTGCTCTCACAGCCCTTGGCAGAGCAGCGCTCACCCCCCAAACAGCTGATGTATGAACTCAAAATAAAACCTGACTCCAACACGAAAATCTGAAGAGGTTTTACAAAAGCAGCGAGTTGGAACTATTACATCACACTTTGGAGACTTGCAACAGCAACAAAGGAAACAGTGCAGCTTGCAGCAAACAGCTGAGGATTATTGAGAAGGCTGGAGTGGCCCTGGGTTGCTCTTGGCCACACTGGAAAGCGGAGCAGCCACAAATCAGATGGTCAGGAAGTTGGTCTCCAGGGCTGTGGCTTTGTCAGCAGGGCAGTGCTACAGCAGCAGCTGCTCTTTTTTAAAGGCAGCAAGATTAGGTTGGGGGAAGTCATTCTAATATTCCACAGTTTTCCTATGCTTTCCTGAATGTAGAGGGAATTAGAACTTCAGCTGTGTAAATCTGCAAGGAGTAAAGACTGACTTACCAACTAATACATCAGTTACCAAGATTCCACATCTATACAGGCAGGTAACATAAGGGATGAGAAATGCCTGTTTTTGTCACAGGCTTAAAGTTAAACTCCACTGTGACCAGCTAAGCAAGTGGAAGATTTGTGCCAGGAATTCCCCATTTCCCTCCCTGCTCCTGCAGGCAGCCAGCCATCAGGAACACAGGGCACTCTTTGCAGGAACACTGAGCCCAGAAAGATTTTCATTCAGTCATGTGTCATTCACATGGCAAACGAAACCAGGACTGGAAGGAAATAAGAACATGGGAAAGCTGACGGGCCTGGGACCCTCTGAAAAGCAAAGTACTGTTTCTTGAACCACAATTAATCCCTCCCAGTGAACTGCAGTCACAGGGAAGGGGAACATTCCCAGCACACGCCAACAGCTCCACACTGCAGAGATTGAAGGCAAACATGCTTATCTCCACCTCAGAGGGGAACAACTCCAGCAGCAGTTAAGAAGGGTTTACTGAGTGCCAGGCTCTGATCTGCACCTCCTTCCCTCCTGCCTGGCTCAGGACATGGGAACACTCAAGGCCTTCCATCCCAGGCAGTGTGCAAAGCACCCACACTAAATCCTACACACGCTGTTCTAGCAAACCAAGTGTGTTCCAAGATAGTAAACTAAAGGCAGTTTTGGACAGTAATGCACCAAGCAGGCCAGTAGCTTCACTGCCTTATTTTCTGCAAGACTCCAAAGTTACATTCTCTTCCAATATCTGCACTGATTATTTTCAATACCAGCGAACAACGACAAGTAACAGCCCCATATGGAATTCCAAATTAACTTGTCACTGTGGAAACATCCAACACTTCAAGTTTCCTGAACATCCTCACATATGATGGTTTCTTCTCTTCTCCAGCACATCCCAGCGCAGGAACACTCAAACTGGGCATCTTCTGACCCAGTGCATGTGTTCTGACAGGACACTTCACCTGAGATGTGATTCCCAGGACAGGAATGTGTCATAACTTATGCTGGGAAAAAACCCAACCAAACCAAGCAGCACCAAGACAGGGAACCAACCATCATAAAATCTGCCCTGGAGAAGCCTGGGTGGCCTCTCTTCTTTCACAACACCAGGAATGCCAAGAGGATGCATCCTGCTATCCCAGCCTGTAAACAGCACCACCGGAAGTGAGCAGGACTCTCCTTCAAAGGATGGACAAGCTGGGAACTCTGTGCAGGCTGGGTCACACACTGAACTGAAGTGAACCTTTATCTCTGTTTATTTACCAGACTGGGTTTGCTTGCTCAGATATGTCCACCTTCATTATACCCTTTAAGTAAACAAGTCTAACTGTGCTATTTCAACACAAAAGAAACTGCCACAGCTTTCCAACATGTGCATCAAAACCACTTCAAAGGGACACAAAACCAAATTCTGCGCTTGGCAACAAGTTCTGTTAAGAAATGGGTGGGAAAGGAGGACCCAATTCAAGCCACATCTCATTGCTGGAACTCCACCCTCGTGGTTCCAGTGACATCAGGCTCTACCAGAGGTGGAAGGTACCACACACCCTTTGTACCCAGCACACAGCTTCAAAAAAGATTATGAACAGCAAGATCATAAAGGAATTCACTCATAGGAGGAGTCTGGACCTTCTCTCAAGACCCAGAGTTGCTGCAGAAGTCACTGTGTTTGGCACACATCTGTACTGAAAGCTGCAGAAATAGAGATATTAAGTTTAATCATAATTTCTGGAGTTAAAGTGAAAAATAAAGCAACCCTTGGGTATTGGGATTACATTTATTCCAAGGGTCACATTACAAAAAAAAGATTCTGAAATACTCCAAATCATTACTAAAGGTCAGGAATCTTTTCTGGAGAACAGATGACTTCTTTTAGAAAAAATGAAATAAAACCCGAAGCAATACTAAAACAGCCAAATAACAAACTTCTAAACACTCAAATTCCAGTAAGGATTAGCAGGAATTCAAACTGTACTCAGACCTTGGAATAAAAGTGATATTCCAGAAGGACTCTGTGCTGAAGGGGAAAAATAAATGCAACAAACTGAACAGAGAAGCTCTGGGGAGAATTGAGCCTTGGAGAACTGACACCTCAGCATTTACTGCAGCTGGAAGGAGGAAGTCCAGACAAGGACAGGGCACACCAGGAGTCAGTAAACACTGAAATATCAGCTACATGTCAGTGCAAGGGGCTCATTTCTGTTAAAATCAGCACCCATCTGTAGAAACTGGAGCTCCACCTCCACTTCCAAACCCTCTCCCTGTTCCAGATACGTGAATCTTAATAATCCAAATATGAGGGGTTGGGGCTTTCCTCCAGGAGGGCAAGAACTGCCCAGAAATATCCCCAGCTCAGCCCCAGCACTGCTGACATCAAAGTTACCCAGCCATGAATTTACTGTTACCAGAAAGCAGAAGTTCAGTCTGGGAGCTTGGCCTACCTGCCATCCCTGTTCCAGGAAAGGCTGCCAGCTCAGGACAAGCTCTGGCTCCCCTCTCAGAGGCAGCACTTCCCAGGAGTTCAGAGCATTAGTCCAGGATGGCCACCAGCCAGAGGCTCGTGGCTCACTGTGCACAGATTTCTGTCATTTCAAAGCCTGCACAATTAATTTCCATATTCCAGTTAAGCCTGGGAATCTCACAGTGAGCAGTGGCACCATCATCCATTTCCAGACATCAACTTCTCCCTCAGAGGCATTTTTTAATAGAAAGTTAAAGATGACCTTAATGAGGTGCCAGTACATCTCCATTTCCTCCTCTAATCAACGAGCACTCCACAGGTATTTAGAGATCTCACTGCAGCCTTATTCCAAGCATCAGCACATCTGATCCCCCCAGATAAGGCAGTTCCAGGCACACTGCCCTGATTCTGTATCACAACACCACAACTGTAAATATCAGAGTCACACCAGCCTTTGTGGGACCTGGGCAGTTCCTTCCAGCTCAGCTCCAGGACATCCAGTTTGAACTCCAGCCTGGATACCATTTGCATAGAGAAATGTCATATTTTTCTGCTCAGCAAGCAGCAGGTCTGTCATGAGAAGAGAGCAGAACCTGCAATGCACAGGTTTTATCAGACACTGTGTGTGGGTAATGCCATCAGCTGATGGGTGGTCAATCCACAGGGATCACAGCTGTGGGAACAACATCCCCTTCAAACTCAGGACTGTCCTTTGCTACAGGTTCCCCACAAAACCACACCAAATGCAGCCAGGGAACCACTGGGTAGTTACTCTGAAGCCAGAGGGATTTTGTATTCCATCAGCCACCCAGGTGTTCTTCCCATCATTCTTCAAGGATATGCAACAGGAAGGGATCTCACAGTTGAAGCTGCAGATTTCCTTGGATGTTACTTAGCAGAGAACACTGAGATGGATGAGGGGAGGGGTTGTGGGGAGGTAGAACTGTATCAATTCCAAACTGCACTTTTCCCCTGAGGAAGACTTTTGCCAAGCACACAAAACGTGGTCCAAGTGGTACCTTCCTTCAGGAATAGTCTGTCACTGCCTCAGTTGTGGCCTCCTGTAAAATCCCAGCCCACTGGGAGGTGATAACAGTTCTGTTATCAATTCATTCCCCCAAGCAATTCATTCCCACAGGTCCCTTGTCCACAGCAAGCCACGAGGTCTGTTCCAATGAAATTCCACTGTGGTTCTCTGACTTCCACACCCCAAGGACACTCAGGGTTCCTGACCCACACCAACATCTCAGCCCTCTCGAAGGTGCTGCCCCACAGCTGCTCTGCTGCTTTATTTCTGCAGGCCTGGCTTTACAAAGCCCTGCTGAGCCTGATCCCTGAGGACTCTCCGAGCCTGCTGCAGCCTCCACACGTGTCTGACAACATCACTTGTTGCTGGCCAGCTCCTTCCTCGTCCCTCAGCTCTTCCAGAGTCATCCTCTCCAGCTTTCCCCCCTTGGATTTCATCAAGGCATCCCATGAGCACAAGGCAGGGAATTTGGCTGAGCTGATCTGTGAGCAGAGAGCAGCCCAGCAGGTCTCTGTGATCTGCTGTCCAAGATCCCTCTGCATTTCCTTATTATCCCCATGTCCAGTTCCTCTTTCCCTGGATGCCCCTGTGCCCTGCAGGCTCTGGGGCTCAGCCTCCCCAGCTCCAGCCCTGCAGGGCCCTCTCCAGGCTGTTCTTGGAGAAATGTATTTAATATATTCATGTAAAAGACTTTAACCCAGCCTGGAGCCCAGGAAAGATTTCTAAGGCTTCACAGGCCTTCACTTCTCCTTCTACATGAGAATTTTGGCTTTAATTTAAAATCCAAGCCATACATCACACTGCCTTCACTCTCTGATCTCCCCACCAGCTCTCCAGTCCTTCCCACATTGTGCTGCTTTATCCTTCTCATGGTTTCACATCCTGCTCCACAAAGTTACTCCATTTTGTTCCCTAAACTTCCTGCTTTTCTGTGTGCACACCTCATCTCTCCCTGACCACACCCAGATCATGGCACACTTGCCCTCACCAGCACTTTCTCCCATGTCCATCCTCTCAGCCATCCCTCATCCACCAGGATATCCCCACTTATCTCATTTTCCTCTTCCTACAGAACAGTCAGTTCACAGCAGGAGAATCAAGGTCCAAGGGTATCAGGGAAGTTTGGGACAGTTTATACAGACACCAGCAGAGTTTTGTTGTCATCCCAACAACCCTCTGGAGTCACCACCTTGGAAAACACAAGTCACAGACATTTCAGAACAAAATGAACTAAGATCTACCTCGTGTTTCAAGAAGACACAGCAAAATGAGAACCAACCACAAGCAGGTTCCATTAGATGCACAAGAGTGAGCAAGCCATTTTAAAATATTATTTACATTTTAAATCCCAGTACCTCCAGTAGAACAGGTTTGTTTCCAAACTGCTGTCCTTCACAATAACTCCTCTTTTTTTTTTTTGTTATTCATAAAATGGAAAAGGAAAATAGGAACTTCTTCCTTCCACTCAGATTTACGATTTTGCAAATCCTAAGAGCCTCCGAATCCAAACCACGACAGGAATCAATCCCAGGGCCAAAGCATTCCACAGGATAACATCTGGCTATTGAAAAAGTTGTGGTGCTTTGGGGTTTGAAGAGGTTTAGGACACAGTGAACCTGAGTGAATCTTGTTCACAAAGGGGTTCTGTAAACTTTGAATAAATGTCAAACACAGAGCCTGTTTCTGAGGTCTAGAAAGCAAAGGCCACACCAAGTAACATCCAGAGCCAGACTCCAGTGCAGACACCTCCCTCTGCCTGGCCTTAGAGCAAGGACAATTCAGCAAAACTTCAATTCAAGACAAAGCTCCCCACAGACGTTACAGAAACTCCATGTGTGAACACACAACCAGGTGAAAGAGCAGAATTTCTCTCTTCTATTTAGCCCCAACAAGCTTTGACAAAAGAAAACAGAGAACGAGCCTAGTGCACTTTCATTGCTTTCTCGAATGGGATGTGGCTTTTCCCTCAGCCCTCAAAATCATTTTTATGTCAAAGTTCATGACAGTGCAGGTCAACATAACAATCAAAAGTCCAGATAACGCTGCACGTCGACCACACAGACTATAATATACACCTACACACCCTGCGGGCGACTGCAAGAGCTAGTAAGGGACGCATATTTATAAATACACATAAATATATGGCGTGTGCAGGGGGATTTGGGGGTGGCGTTACCAGGGGGGCGGCGGTGCCACACGGACGGAGCGGCCTAGTCCTGCTCGGCCGCCCCTTCCCCTCCTGAGGCCCCGGGGCCGCTCGGCTCCTTGCAGGCCCACCGTTCCTCGACTCAGGGCGGGCCCAGGAAGTCCTCACCTCCCTACGGGACCCGCCCGGCCCGGCGGAACCCAGCGGAGCCCATCGCGGGGCCTGGCGCCTCAGGCCCGGGCCGGGTGGCCGCCCGCCCCTCCCCGGGCGCGCCGTACCTGTGCTCGGGGCTCGGGGAGCTGTGCAGCGCGGTGCCTGTTCCCCGCAGCGGGGCGGTGTGTGCGTGTCTCCGTGTGTGTGTGCGTGTGTGTGTGTCTCCGGTCGGGGGGGCCTCGCTCCGCGCTGGCTCCGCTTCCCCTCAGACGCGGCTCCGCTGCGCCCCCATCACCCCCGCAGCCAAGATGGCGGCGCCGCTCGCACGGGGTTTCCCCTCCCACCCTCGACGGGCACAAAGAGTGGGCGCGAGGGCGCCGCGCCGCGGCCAATCAGAGCGGCCGCTGCCCCTCGCG